CCTGCCCCGAAATCTGCCCCTGTTCCTACCCCAATATCTAGTCCTGCCCCTAAATCTGTCCCGAAATCTACCCCTGCCCCGAAATCTGCCCCTGTTCCTACCCCAATATCTACCCCTGCCCCAAAACTTACCCCAGTTTCTACCCATATCATTATCCCTAAATGTACACCTGCTCCTGCCCCTGTACCCCTCTCTACTCCCTCCCAACCCTCCACTCCTGCCCCCTCCTCCTCCTCCTCCTCCTCCACCCCCTCCCCTCTAGAGTGGGACCCCCCTACGGAGAGAGAGACCCTGCCCCCCTCCAGTCTCTTCAACCACCCCGCCCACACCACCACCATCCCCACACGCAAACGCAAGCGCAAGCCCCCGCCGCTCAAGAACAAGGTGCACCCCAACCCGGACAGGCATGTGTCCGGACACCCCAAACCCTGAGGACCCCTTCTGAAGGACCCTCAAGAAGAAGGGATGTTAGGGATGGATGGACAGAACGAAACGGGCCTTAGGGAGGAGTGGAAAGAAAGGAAGGATTCTGGGTTGAGGATGAGTGATCGTCGGTGACAGCGGGTTATGTCACTGGTGTTCCACTCTAAACCCAGAAGGAGAAAGAGAGAAAGAGAGGCCCCAAAACAGCGACCGCTCACCGTGGAGTTGGCATGGAAACAAGGTGCAGGTCGCCAGTTCTTTACCCCCGCCCCCTAACCGCTGAACCCTGACCCCATGTGACCCCGGAGGTCGCGTGGGGGCGTTGACAGAAGCACATGTTGTGCTGACATTAGGAGTGCTGACTGTATGTTTAGCCAATGAAGAGTGTGTACACGACCTGTCTGATGATGTACACAGCTTGTTGATGATGATGATGATGTACACAGCTTGTTGATGATGATGATGATGTACACAGCTTGTTGATGATGATGATGTACACAGCTTGTTGATGATGATGATGATGTACACAGCTTGTTGATGATGATGATGTACACAGCTTGTTGTTGATGATGATGATGTACACAGCTTGTTGATGATGATGATGTACACAGCTTGTTGATGATGATGATGTACACAGCTTGTTGATGATGATGATGATGTACACAGCTTGTTGATGATGCTTCAGCGTGTTGTCCATGTTGTTGTTTCTATTTTATCATGAAAAAAGAAGGATGCTATTGTTCTTGGTCACCATAGTTACTGTATGTGTGACCTGTTTAAACGGTCTGTTCAGACACACACACACAGGTACACACACACACAGGTACACACACACAGGTACACACACACACAGGTACACACACACAGGTACACACACACACAGGTACACCCCCTCATAGGTACACACAGTCAAGCTAGTTGGTACACACACTCACACATTTTAGTACAACAATGCAACATTTGCATGCACACAGATGCTATAATCAAAGAGGATATCAGGGTGCTAACAGACTGGCATGCTTCAGGACTCGAAAGAAAGAAAGAAAGAAAAGAGAAAGAAAGAAAGAAGGAGAAGAGAAGGTGGTAGCAAGAAAGAATGGAAGATACTGTAGTTTGCGAAAAAGACGAGATAGCAGGAGAGATTAGCTTGTTGAATTGTTGCAAGAACAGTTGTTAGAGAGAAATAAAAGGCAAAGAGAGAAAGAAGGTGTCTATGCTTTTAGCCTAGAGTCTTAACTCAGTCCTAAACTACAACTCTTTCACCTTAAAACTACAACTCCCAACACTAACTATCAGGAGGATGCGAGGGTACATTGCTACAATATAATCTTGGTTATCATTTTGTAATATTATCAGTAAAAATGTCTGTTGCTTTCAATATGGTTCTAATTTAAAGCACTTTTGTTGTAATGTGTGTTTGAGTGCGAGTGTGTGTGAGCGTGTTTGTGCATGTGTTTTCGCGTGTTGAAAATAATAAGCTTGGTACGAAAACCAATAGAGAATGGCTTCACACATATTTTAACTATTAGCGTTGCCAAAGTTTGCGCATTATGTACGCATCAAGAGTTGTAACGTTTTACGTTTTGAAAGAAAATGAATTCCTTTTGTACTAAGCACTTTATCTTCCTTTGAAGCTCTTATCCATATTTAACTCCTGTGTTACATTCTCAAGTTTTTTTTCTTTTAATATCCAAAACAGCTATACAAAATTATATTTTAATTAGTATTATATCAGTAACTATGTCAGGAAATTGAAGCGTTACCATTTTGTATTTTCTTTTGTCATTTTGTGTTTGTTTTTCATCATTGTTGTTATTGATGTCACGCTACTTCCTGGGAAAAAAAACATTTCCTCCCCACAAACTTCCTGTTTCCTGTGGGCAGATCTCAGGGACCCCGCCCCTTCCCCCCCAAAAAACCAGGAAGTTGTCCTTATTTGTCTGTTATCTTCTGTTTGTTGTTGTTGAAAGGTCAGATGAATTTCAAGTGAGAAGTGTCGTAGTAAGACTTTTAGAACCGTTGTAATGTATATCTGATATTCCATCCAGACCAAAGTATATATTATATTAATCTCCCATTATTAGAACACAGCCCACACGCTAGAACACTTTAGAACCAACCGTTCCAAGCCATGTTCCCTTTTCCAAGCCCACAAAGATATTTTGGATGTACATTTTACTCCAAACCTGTTGGTGGCAGTCTCCACGAGATTTGGTGGTCCTGTCCATAAACTTACCACAAAACTGTAACCTTCAGTTACAAAGTTATATCAAACTCTGTTTTCTTATCAGTCAGTTTGTATATGTGTGTATGTAGTTACTTCTTGAGGGATATCATTTTTTATCATTCTCAGTATTGTTGATGTACTGCAGCGTTGTTGGTTTAACGGTCGTTAAGCACTGGCGTTCCGGGTTTCACACCTTTTTAGTGTCATCCATCCCCTAGACAACATACCCGACAGTTCCCATAGCAACTCAAGCGCTACAAAGTTCTTAAATCCAAAGAATACGATGAAGAAGAGCTGGTTCTCCCAACACCCATTTCTCCCGACATGTATATCGCCCCGCCCCGTCTTTACTGTGTAACTGCATCGTGCCAAAGCTAGTCCCTTCTGCATGTTTAGCATTTTTGTCTTTGAGTAACACGTACTTTGTCTTACATTTGCATGTTGAAGCAAAAGTGTTATGGTCTGTTTTGTATCGTAGTATTGTTTTGTATCGTAGTATTTTGCGTCTGTAGCACTTCTCATGCTTTTGCACTTGACAAAGTCGAATAAAGAGTTTGACAGCTATGAGAGCCTGTATCTCAGTGTTGTGGTAGACTAATTGTTCACCTAGGACATTTTCACTTCCAAAATACTCATAAAATGGGTCCTCCATAAGATCTTTGCCGGTTGTCGACAATGCACCTTTTAAAGGCAATTTTCAGTTTGCCGGAAATGACCTTCAAATGTCAAGCGCGCTACAATGCGGCCTCAGATTGAATCCCTGCCCTGTAGCCACATTCTGATTGTAGCCACATTTTTAGACAGGTGTAGACGATCAAAATAACTGATCTTCTTGACCACCTCTGGTGGCAGTAGGGGACAAATGGATTGGATGGATGAAAGCTCAGTGGGCGGGGCTTAGTTACATCAGTGGGGGAAGTTTACAGGTGAGTCAAATACAAAAAGGCAGTTCGAGAGGTAGGTTGTTAGTGGATGGAGGGCGTTACACGTGTTGAGACCCTCAAGGTTGCCAGTTCGAATCCATTTTGCGACATGTTGAGTAAGGTTGGAAAACAAATCTAATCAAATTTCTACTCTAACTATATGGCTGAAAGAGCTTTAAATATGTTTTTAAAAAACAAGGTTGGTGCCCTGCTTGTGCAGTGGGATAGGGACCAGAAGATCACAGGTTCTAATCTTGTAGATGCCCTTTCTCTAAATAAAAAAGGTATTTATAGCCCTGGTTTTCATGATCTGATTCAAACATCAAGGAAGCAGCCCGGTTAACAAATGCAATCACTTTTAACCCGGCACAAACTCTGCCCACCCCGTGAACCAGGCAAGCTAAAAACGAATCCCCTTAAACGTGCCACCTGTAGAAATACAAATATGACTGAATTAAATACTCAATGAACTACAAATATGACTGAATTAAACAAAGAACCTACAAACACGGCTCCTCGTGACATCACATTCCAAACGGAAATGGAGAAAAAAAAAACACACTTGACACTTTCATTGGCTATTCGTTTAGTTTATTCCGTACACACACACCGCTTTCATTGGCTATTCGTTTTGTTTATTCCGTACACACACACCGCTTTCAAATGTAGTGTTGCTCATTCACCATTCTTCCTTCTGAGTGGTTTGCGAGGGGAGGAGAGAAGAGGAGAGGGAAAGGTGTGCTTTGGCTGTGTAAGCCACAGGGGTCATGCGCTCTCTGTCCCAAATGGTACCCTATTCCCTATATAGCGCACTACTTTTGACCAGAGCCCTATGTGCCCCGGTCAGAAGTAGTGTATTATAAAGAGAATAGGGTGCCATTTGGAACGCAGGGCTAGTTAGGCCGTACCATCTGTACCTGTCATCATCAGAACCAGCTCATGGGCCGTACCATCTGTACCTGTCATCATCAGAACCAGTTCATGGGAGCAGTTGGGTTAAAAGCCACAAGGTATGCCATAGCAGTTTGTGCTGTCAAGACAAATATTTGGAGAGAATCGTCAAATCATATAGGTAGAAAGCAGGTGTGTGTGTGTGTGTGTGTGTGTGTCAGAGAGAGAGAGAAAGAGCGAAAGCAGGTCAATGTTATCCCTGACTAAGCACAGATCTAGGACCAGGTATTTTATTATCCTCCTGCTGGTCAACATTAGGACCACTCGGATAACCTGATCCCAAATCTGTGGTTAGGGAGGCAACGTCTGCCTTGAGCAGGGGACCAGAAATAGTATCAGAAATATCACTCCGTTACAATGTCCATACAGGCATACTACATAGCATGAAACCAATGTATTGGGGATGCATACTGTGTGTCCCCCAAACGGCACCCTATTCCCTATATAGTGCACTACATTTGACCAAGGTCCATAGGGCTCTGGTCAACAGTAGTGCACTGTATAGGGAGTAGTGTGCCATTTGACCCGAAGTAGTATACTAGTGTGTACATTTGACATTCGGAATGCGCCCTCAAGGCTCAGACGAAGTCGGTGAAGTCGTCCACGGTGGAGACCAGTCTCTTCCTCTGTCCGGAGGAGTCAGTGTTGGAGCCTCCACCGCCGCCCTGCTGGTAGGAGGACTGCTTGGTCTGGGAGGAGTGGCTCTGGGTCAGAGAGATACCGGGGGTGGGACGAGACTGGATCTCCTCCTGGGCCTGAGGGGGGGGAGGGAGGGACAGAGGGGGGGAGGGAGGGACAGAGGGGGGGAGGGAGGGACAGAAGGGGAGGAGAATTTAGTTGAGAAATTGTCTGAAAATGTCACAGTAGGAGCTCAGTGATATGACCATGTCAGGAATGTAGGTAGTTAAGAATGTCCTTCAAATTCACTTCAAAACATCAACTTTATAGAAAAGATTGATTGCACAACATGCGTTTTCTAATCAGTAATCACCAGGTACTCTAAACATATGTGTTTTTAGCTCGTGAGCAACATCTACGTTTATCTAACCTATAGAAGTTTTTTTTTTTTTTTGCATTTAATACATTTCCCGGTTTGATGTTGACTGGTCAGTCCGAAACAGAGGTTCGTTCTTTGAGGTGCTGTAACTCTCATCAAGGCTCATCAAGTAATCAGAGATACAATAGAAAAAGGTGTGTGTGTGTCTGTGTGTGTGTGTGTCTGTGTGTGTGTGTCTGCGTCTGTGTGTTCTCACCCGTGTCCTGAGTCTCTTGATGTGTCTTAGTCTGGCCAACCACTTGGAAGCGTAGGCATCAGAGGGGTTGGCTCTGTACTGGTGGACCAGAGACGCCATCTGAAACACACACAGAGAGAGACAGACATACAGACAGTCAGTCATGACAGCGTGTGTTAAATCAGCATGTTTAATTAAATGTCCAGTTAGAGAAATGAGTTCGGACTCTGTGTGTGAGAGACTCACGTTAGCGTGTAGGGCCATCTGTCGTACCAGCAGTGGAAGGTTTCGGTCCGAGACGATCTTCGCTACACTGGTGTCAACTAGACCCTCCAGATCTGATGGCGAGAGAGAGAATGAGAGAGAGAGGGGGAGAGAGAGAGAGAGAGAGGGGGAGAGAGAGAGAGAGAGAGAGGGGGAGAGAGAGAGAGGGGGAGAGGGAAAGAGGGAGGAGAGAGAGGTGAGGAAGTAGAGAGAGGGAGGAGGGAGGGAGATGTGGGGAGAGAGAGAGAGAGGGAGAGAGAAGGAGAATCAGTCCATTTCACTTCAGCAAATACTTCATTATAATTATTTTTGCCCCTTGGCTCCCTGCTTCATTATATATATTAGTTCTTGTTATTCATCCCATTTATTCATTCCCTCCCTCTCACCTTTCCTGCACTGCAGGGTGACCAGGTTACTCCCATAGTCCAGAGGCTTGATGATCACCTCAACAAAGTTAAACTGACCCTGGGACACAGAAGAACACAGGAGAGAAGGAGGAAGGAGGAGAAGAATATAGAAGAGTTACATCATTATTTAATCAAAATGAACACAAAGAACAAAAGTGTTTGTGTTTGTCTGCGAGTGAGTGAGTGAGTGAGTGAGTGAGTGAGTGAGTGAGTGAGTGAGTGAGTGAGTGAGTGAGTGAGTGTGTGTACGTGTACCTTGATGGTCCCCAGTTTGTACTCCTCTCCTGAGTCGTTGTAAACCACCATAACAAAGTCGTTTCCGATGTGTCTCTTCTTGTTACAGCAGCCCTTATCACTGTCTCTGTTGGGCATCAGGGTGGCTATGTGGAAGATGGCTGAGGAGAGGGAGGAGCAAGTTAGTGGACAGACAGACAGACAGACTGACCAACCACTCTCTGTTGGGCATCAGGGCAGTGCTTTTACACTGAACCCTGAACCCTGAGGCACCAAGTAACATCTGTAAGTAGAAATACACAGCCACCCTGCATGATGTCATCGTGCCAGCAGTAGGTGAACTCCCCGTCGTCTCCATACTGGTCTAGACCCCCCAGGAAGATCTGGTCTGGATCACAGTCCTTCAGGTGGATGAGCTTCCCCAGGCCTGTCAGGAAGCCAGCGTAGCGGTTAGAACCATACTCATTGGACAGGATGGACACCTCGTTGAATACCTGGGGTAGGGAGGGGAGAGAGGGAGGGGAGAGAGGGAGGGGAGAGAGGGAGGGGAGAGAGAGGGAGAAAGAGGAAGGGAGAGGGGGGGAGAAAGAGGGAGGGAGAGGGGGTAGAGAAAGAGGGAGGGAGAGGGGGGGAGAAAGAGGGAGGGAGAGGGGGGGAAGAGGGAGGGCAGGGAGAGGGGGGGAAGAGGGAGGGGGGGAGGGAGGGAGAAAGAGGGAGAGGGGGGGGGAGAAAGAGGGAGGGAGAGGAGGGGAAGAGGGAGGGGGGAGAGGGGGGGAGAAAGAGGGAGGGAGAGGGGGGGGGGAGAGGGAGGGAGGGAAGAGGGAGAGGGAGGGGGGAGAGAGGGAGGGGGGGAGAGAGAGAGAGGGAGTCTGTTCATTAAAGGTTGTTTTGGTTGTCAATCCAAACTAAATGTCCACTCCGGTCCACACAGGGTTTACAGAGTCCTTGCAGACATGTTTATTAGCTTTTTTTTATTACTGCATTGTTGGGTAAGGGCTTGTAAGTAAACATTTCACTGTATTGTCTACACCTGTTGTATTCAGCGCATGTGGCAAATACAATTTGATTTGATTTGAGTGGACATTCCATATTGCACCCCCCCCCCCCAAAATGTAAACTGAAATAATTTTTTGGGGAACTCAGTCGGGGTCTCAACTTACTGTTGAGAGTTAGAATAGTAGAATATACAAGGTGGAATTTCCAAATGTGGTTGTGCACCGGCAGTTTTGCTCTTGTTAGCCTAATGTCAGCTAAACCTTTTTAGAATGGTAAGTTAGTCTAGTGGCCAGCTGTCTAAACTTGTAGTAATCATGGTCGAATTACCGACCAATTGGCCCCCATTGATTTAGTTAGTCACACAAACATTTCTCTCCACCCTGTGGCAATGTGAATTGCAGGAAATTGGTCACAAAATTGCTAAATCTTCTCTACACCCCGTGGCAAAGTGTGTAGAATTGCAGGAAATGTAATTTTTTTCTCTCGCTGTCAAGAGGGGTGACGCTAAAATGTTTTGCTCGCAAAGATGGCGGGGCCCCCCAACAAAACTTTGCTTAGGGCCCCCAAACAGCTAGAGCCGGCTCTGACTGCATGTGTGGCATGGATGTGGTACGTAGACCCCCGAGGCCCCTCATGATGAGGTCAGACCCCCGAGCCACTGGGGCCCCTCATGATGAGATCAGACCCCAGAGCCACTGAGGCCCCTCATGATGAGATCAGACCCCCGAGCCACTAAGGCCCCTCATGATGAGATCAGACCCCCGAGCCACTGAGGCCCCTCATGATGAGATCAGACCCCCGAGCCACTGAGGCCCCTCATGATGAGATCAGACCCCAGAGCCACTGGGGCCCCTCATGATGAGATCAGACCCCCGAGCCACTGGGGCCCCTCATGATGAGATCAGACCCCCGAGCCACTGAGGCCCCTCATGATGAGATCAGACCCCCGAGCCACTGGGGCCCCTCATGATGAGATCAGACCCCCGAGCCACTGAGGCCCCTCATGATGAGATCAGACCCCCGAGCCACTGGGGCCCCTCATGATGAGATCAGACCCCCGAGCCACTGGGGCCCCTCATGATGAGATCAGACCCCCGAGCCACTGGGGCCCCTCATGATGAGATCAGACCCCAGAGCCACTGAGGCCCCTCATGATGAGATCAGACCCGCGAGCCACTGAGGCCCCTCATGATGAGTTCATCAAAGTATCCCATCCCTGGCTTAAAGGGATACTGAGAGATTCTGTCAATTAAGCAGTTTCTGAATTAAGGAATTGCGATAACACTAGTTAGCATTGGCTTGCAAAACTACCTCTAACTTACTTCATACTGGATGCAGAGACATACAAATTGTATATTTTATTTAACCTTTATTTAACTAGGCAAGTCAGTTAAGAACAAATTCTCTATTTACAATGACAGCCTACTTGTAAAGCCCCCCCGGCCAAACCCTCCCCTAACCCGGACGACGCTGGGCCAATTGTGCGCCGCCCTATGGGACTCCCGATCACGGCCGCTTGTGATAGAACCCAGGTCTGTAGTGACGCCTCTAGCACTGCGATGCAGTGCCTTAGACTGCTGCGCCACTCGGTATCCACACGTTCAACTGACTCTGGGTAAGAATCTGGCAGTATCCCTTTAAAGAAAAATGACCTAGAAATGACTAAAGAAAAAACAGTATCTCCTCTCACCTGCCCAGCTCCTACAAACACCACTCCAATCTTATGGGTATCATACGGAGGCATCTGGTCCAAAACCTTCACCGCTCTGTCGATCAGCTAGGAGAGAGAGAGACAACACACACACGTTACAGTACACACACCGTTACACACACACACGTGTTACAGTACACACACCGTTAAACACACACAAATCACTACAGCACACACTCACCTGAGACTTGGGCAGCAGGAGGGGCTTGTTGGCCTCGTTGCCAAAGAAGGGAGAGTGGTAGAGCTGAAGGAATACAAAACTACAGGAGAGAGAGAGAGAGAGAGAGAGAGAGAGAGAGAGAGAGAGAGAGAGAGAGAGAGAGAGAGAGAGAGAGAGAGAGAGAGAGAGAGAGAGAGAGAGAGGAAATAATTGCATTAGGAAAGGCTCTGTATGTGTGTGTCTGCGTGCTTGTGTGCTTGTGCCTGCTAAGCGTGAATGGGTCTATCTAACCTGGGACTGAGTCCACTGGTCTTCTCAGTGTTGGTGGGTCCGGGCCGGGTGGTGTGGTACACGTCTCCTCCTGTCCGCTCTCTCCTGGAGGAGGGGGCCGACACTGAGATGGTGTGACCCCTGGGACGGTGCCCTCCGCTGGGTGAGAGGGGGCCAGGCTGGTGGGGCGCTGGGAACTCCAGCCTCATCCTGGCTCCCTGGGAGGAAGAGGAACCTCCTCCTCCCGATGCCCCAGACAACCCCCCTGTCACTGGGGTGGAATCCCCACTCTGACTCTGTCCGTTCACCTCTCCTCCTCCACTCTCCACCTTCTCCATCTCCTTCTCCGCCGGGGGCTGTTGTGGCTGGCTCTTCCCCTCCGAGGGTGTCCTAACCTCGGGTGCCTCTCCTACTCCGGCCCCAGGCCCGGTTGTGGCATTAGGGAAGGCCTCTGGTAGGGCCTGGAGCTCAGGGGAGGAGCTGGACTTGTTGAGGGTCTGGGTCCCAGGCTGGTTCTGGGTCTGGAGGGGGAGCTCTGGGCCTTGGCTGCCCGGGGTGGAGGGGGCCAGGGGGGGTTGGTCGATGGGGATGGCCCCCTCACTCACCTCCTCCAGGGTGGACTTCTCATCGTCCTGGCTGGAGCTGGAGGAGGACTGAAGGGAAGGAGGGATGAGGTGAAAAAAGTACCAAAACATAATCAATGTCTCACAATAACCACCTTTGCCATATTCTATTGTAAATCATACTTCTGTTTTGAGGGATCCTTGCTGTAGCAACCTAGTGTCCTCATTTCAGGTTTCTGTATTCTTAGCCCTTATAGTTGGTCACTAAACCCTATTGAGGGGTCCAGGCAACATCGAATGTCATGCCTTTATATTAGGGTTCTGTGCTCCTAGTCCCCTAACTGTAGTATCCTAGCTGTAGTATCCCAGCTGTAGTATCCCAGCTGTAGTATCCTAGCTGTAGTATCCCAGCTGTAGTATCCCAGCTGTAGTATCCTAGCTGTAGTATCCCAGCTGTAGTATCCTAGCTGTAGTATCCTAGCTGTAGTATCCCAGCTGTAGTATCCTAGCTGTAGTATCCTGTAGTATCCTAGCTGTAGTATCCTGTAGTATCCTAGCTGTAGTATCCCAGCTGTAGTATCCTAGCTGTAGTACCCTAGCTGTAGTATCCTGTAGTATCCTAGCTGTAGTATCCTGTAGTATCCTAGCTGTAGTATCCTGTAGTATCCTAGCTGTAGTATCCTAGCTGTAGTATCCTGTAGTATCCTAGCTGTAGTATCCTAGCTGTAGTATCCCAGCTGTAGTATGCTGTAGTATCCTAGCGGTAGTATCCTGTAGTATCCTGTAGTATCCTAGCTGTAGTATGCTGTAGTATCCTGTAGTATTCTAGCTGTAGTATCCTAGTTGTAGTATCCTAACTGTAGTATCCTAGCTGTAGTATGCTGTAGTATCCTGTAGTATTCTAGCTGTAGTATCCTAGTTGTAGTATCCTAGCATCCTAGCTGTAGTATGCTGTAGTATCCTAGCTGTAGTATGCTGTAGTATCCTGTAGTATTATAGCTGTAGTATCCTAGCTGTAGTATCCTTTTAGTATCCAGCGTAGTCTGTAGTATCCCTGTAGTATCCTAGCTGTAGTATCTAGCTGTAGTATCCTAGCTGTAGTAGTATCCTAGCTGTAGTATCCTAGCTGTAGTATTCTAGCTGTAGTATCCTAGCTGTAGTATCCTAGCTGTAGTATCCCAGCTGTAGTATCCTAGCTGTAGTATCCTAGCTGTAGTATCCTAGCTGTGTATCCCAGCTGTGTAGTGTAGTCCCGTAGTATCAGTGTAGTATCCTAGCTGTAGTATCCTAGCTGTAGTATCAGCTGTGTAGTTATCCTAGCTGTAGTATCCCAGCTGGTATCGTAGTATCCTAGCTGTAGTATCTAGTCGCTGTAGTATCCCAGCTTGTATCTGTAGTATCCCAGCGTAGTACCTAGTTGTAGTATCCTAGCTGTAGTATCCTAGCTGTAGTATCCTGTAGTATCCTAGCTGTAGTATCCCAGCTGTAGTATGCTGTAGTATCCTAGCTGTAGTATCCTAGCTGTAGTATCCTAGCTGTAGTATCCAGCTGTAGTATCTGTAGTATCCAGCTGTAGTATCAGCTGTAGTATCCAGCTGTAGTATCCTAGCTGTAGTATCCTAGCTGTAGTACCGTAGTCGTAGATCAGTTATCCAGCTGTAGTATCCAGTGTAGTATCCCAGCTGTAGTATCCCAGCTGTATACGTGTAATCCAGCTGTAGTATCCTAGCTGTAGTATCCTAGCTGTAGTATCCGTGTAGTATCCTAGCTGTAGTATCCTAGCTGTAGTATCCTAGTGTAGTATCCCTAGCTGTAGTATCCTGAGCTGTAGTATCCCAGCTGTAGTATCCCGTAGATCTGTAGTATCCTAGCTGTAGTATCCAGCTGTAGTACCTGTAGTATCCCAGCTGTAGTATCCTAGCTGTAGTATCCAGCTGTAGTATCCAGCTGTAGTATCCTAGCTGTAGTATCCAGCTGTAGTATCCTGTAGTATCCTAGCTGTAGTATCCTAAGCTGTAGTATCTAGCTGTAGTATCCTAGCTGTAGTACCAACTAGAGCTTGTAGTATCCGTAGACTGGTAGTATTCCTAGCTGTAGTATCACTGTAGTATCCTAGCTGTAGTATCCTGTAGTATCCAGCTGTAGTATCCAGTGTAGTAATCCTAGCTGTAGTATCCAGCTGTAGTATCCTAGCTGTAGTATCCCAGCTGTAGTATCCGCTGTAGTAATGTCAGATCAAGCTGTAGTATCCTAGCTGTAGTATAGCCTGTAGTATCCAGCTTAGTTCTGTAGTATCGTAGCGTGTAGTATCCCAGCTGTAGTATTGTGTTTTTGCCTGTAGTATCTAGGTGTAGTATCACTGTAGTATCCTGTAGTATCCTAGCTGTAGTATCCTGTCAGGTATATCCAGCTGTAGTATATCCTAGCTGTAGTATCCTAGCTTGTTAGTATCCTAGACTGTAGTATCCCAGCTGTAGTATCGCTGTAGTATCCTAGCTGTAGTATCCTAGCTGTAGTATCCTGTGTAGTATCCTAGCTATACCAGCTGTAGTATCCTGAGCGTAGTATCCTAGCTGTAGTATTATCTAGCTGTAGTATCCTGTAGTATCCTAGCTGTAGTATCCTAGCTGTAGTATCCATGTAGTATACCCAGCTGTAGTATCCGTGTAGTATCCTCCAGCTGTAGTATCCTAGCTGTAGTATCTAGCTGTAGTATCCTAGCTGTAGTATCCTAGCTGTAGTATCCTAGCTGTAGTATCCCAGCTGTAGTATCCTAGCTGTAGTATCCTAGCTGTAGTATCCTAGCTGTAGTATCCAGCTGTAGTATCCTAGCTGTAGTATCACTTAGTGTCAGTATCCAGCTGTAGTATCCTAGCTGTAGTATCCTACTGTAGTATCCTAGTCTGTAGTATCCTAGCTGTAGTATCCAGCGTAGTATCCTGTAGTATCCAGCTGTAGTATCCGTCGTAGTATCCTAGCTGTAGTATCAGCTGTAGTATCCTTAGCTGTAGTATCCTTGTAGTATCCTAGCTGTAGTATCCAGCTGTAGTATGCTGTAGTATCCAGACTGTAGTATCCTAGCTGTAGTATCTAGTGTAGTATCCAGCTGTAGTATCCCAGCTGTAGTATCCTAGCTGTAGTATCCTGTAGTATCCAGCTGTAGTATCCAGCTGTAGTATCCTGTTATGTAGTCCCAGCTGTAGTATCCCTAGCTGTAGTATCCAGTGTAGTATCCTAGTGTAGTATCCCAGCTGTAGTATCTGTAGTAACCTAGACCGTAGTATCCTAGCTGTAGTATCCTAGTAGTATCCAGTCTGTATCGTAGTATCCCAGCTGTAGTATCAGCTGTAGTATCCTAGCTGTAGTATCACTGTAGTATCCCAGCTGTAGTATCATGTAGTATCCAGCTGTAGTATTCCAGCTGTAGTATCCAGCTGTAGTATCCTAGTGTAGTTATCCAAGCTGTAGTATCCGTAGTGTATGTAGTATCCAGCTGTAGTATCCTGTAGTATCCTAGCTGTAGCTATACCCAGCTGTAGTATCCTGTAGTATCCGCTAGCTGTAGTTATCCAGCTGTAGTATCCAGCTGTAGTATCTAGCTGTAGTATCCTAGTTAGTATCCAGCTGTAGTATCCGTAGTATCCTAGCTGTAGTACATATCAGCTGTAGTATCCTTTAGTATCCTAGCTGTAGTATCACTTATACTAGCTGTAGTATCCTGTTAGTATCCTAGCTGTAGTATCCTAGCTGTAGTATCCTGAGCTGTAGTATCCATGTAGTATCCTGTAGGGATCCCAGTAGTACTGTAGTATCCCTAGCTGTAGTATCCTGCGAGTATCCTAGCTGTAGTTATCCAGCGTAGTATCCTGTAGTATCCCAGCTGTAGTATCCAGCTGTAGTATCAGCTGTGTAGTATCTAGCTGTAGTATCCAGCTTCGTAGTATCCTGTAGCTGTAGACTGTAGTATCCTAGCTGAGTACCATAGCGTATCCCTAGCTGTAGTATCCTGTAGTATCCTTTGCTGTAGTATCAGCTGTAGTATCCTAGTAGCTGAATCCAGCTGTAGTATCCCCTGTAGTATCCTGTAGTATCCTAGCTGTAGTATCCTAGTAGTATCCAGCTGTAGTATCCTTGTAGTATCCTAGCTGTAGTATCCTATAGTATCCAGCTGTAGTATCCTTAGATCCAGCTGTAGTATCCTTAGTATCCAGCTGTAGTATCCTTAGTATCCTAGCTGTAGTATCCTAGCTGTAGTATCCTGCTGTAGTATCCTAGCTGTATGTATCGCTGTAGTATCCTAGCTGTTCAGGTATCTAGCTGTAGTATCCTAAGACTGTAGTATCCAGCTGTAGTATCCTAGCTGTAGTATCCTAGCTGTAGTATCCTGTAGTACCTGTAGTATCCTAGCTAGTATCCAGCTGTAGTATCCTGTAGTATCCAGCTGTAGTATCCTTAGTATCCCAGCTGTAGTTTGTAGATCCAGTGGTAGTATTCGCTGTAGTATCCAGCTGTAGTATCCAGCTGTAGTATCCGTAGTCTGTAGTATCCTGTAGTATCCAGCTGTAGTATGTAGATCCATTAGTATCCGAGTATCGCTGTAGTATCCTAGCTGTAGTGTGTATCAGCTGTAGTATCCTAGCTGTAGTATCCAGCTTAGATCACTAGTAGTATCAGCTGTAGTATCCACTGTAGACCAGCTGTAGTATCCAGCTGTAGTATCTAGCTGTAGTATCCAGCTGTAGACCTAGCTGTAGTATCCACTGTAGTATCCAGCTGTAGTATCCCAGCTGTAGTATCCGTTAGATCCTAGCTGTAGTATCCAGCTGTAGTATCGTAGTTAGCTGTAGTATCCAGTGTAGATCCAGCTGAGTACGCTGTAGTATCCTAGCTGTAGTATCCAGCTGTAGATCACTGTAGTACCAGCTGTAGTATCGATATCCAGCTGTATACCAGCTGTGAGTATCCACGTAGATCCCAGCTGTAGTATCCCAGCTGTAGTATCTAGCTGTAGTATCCAGCTGAGTACCTAGCTAGTACCTAGCGTAGATCGGATCCCTGTAGTAGTACCAGTGTAGTATCCTAGCGGTAGATCCTACTGTAGTATCACTTAGTATCCTAGCTGTAGTACCTAGCTGTAGTATCCACTGAGACCAGCTGTAGTATCCAGTGCAGTATCCATGTAGTACCTAGGTAGACCTAGCTGTAGTATCCAGCTAGATCTAGCTGTAGTATCCACAGTGTAGTATCCACTGTAGATCGCGTAGTATCCTAGCTGTAGTATCCTGAGATCCCAGCGAGTACACTGTAGTATCCTACTGTAGTATCCTTAGTATCCCAGCTGTAGTATCCTTTCCTGTAGTATCCACTAGCTGTAGTACCTAGCTGAGTATCCCTTGTAGATCCAGTGTAGTATCATGTGTATCACTAGACATGGTATCACGTAGATCCTAGAACTATTAGATCCAGCTGTAGACCTGTAGTCCTAGTGAGTATCCTGTAGATCCCAGCTGTAGCCGTACTAGTGTATATCAGCTGAGTATCCAGTAGTATCCTTAGTACTAGCTGTATCTATGTGTACGAGTATCCAGCTGTATCCAGCGTAGATCTGGTCCACTGTAGATCACTGTATATCCTGTAATCTAGTGGTACCTTTCTAGTATCCACGTACGTTACCAGTATTACTGAGTATTATGTAGTACCAGCTATATCCTGTAACCAGCTGTATATACCACTGTAGTCAGCGAGACCGTACTGCTGTAGTATCCAGCGTAGTACCAGGGTCGTAGACCCACTGTATACCCTTATAACCAGTGGACCACTGAGTATCACTGTTATAGTAGTTAACCACACCCAACTTTAAACAAAAACAGATCAGTCAGTGATCAAACAGAATCAGTCAGGCAGGCACAATCAAAGGCGCGCACACACACACACACACAACACACACACACACACACACACACACACACACACACACGCAGGGAGACCGATCAACGAGCACACTAGCAGGTAGCAGCATATCAGCCATTGGCTGATCATCATTGGTAACCTCATCATTAGTCTAATAGAAAGCATAAGCTGGCGCACACCCAGAGAACATCACTTAGTGTAGAGGTACCTGACTAACGGAGAATAAACTGGAAGCTATTAAAGAGAGTTGCACACTATGTATAAACTCACAGTAATTTATTAGGTAAAAAACCACCAACGTTTCGGCACCACCAACCTTCTTAAGGCACAGTGATGCCGAAACATTGGTGGTTTTTTTTCCCAATTAATTACTGGGACATGGAGGGGGTCAAGGAGCCCCCCACCCAGACCGCCAGCGAAAAACATCTTTATTTATTTTTATAACATCATCATTAGTAACATCTATTTGATTTGTCTTCAAACACGTGTGGTCGGTCGGTTGGTGGGTTCTCTCTCTCTACACACTCCATCTAGTGCAACACCAGCCCAGACCAGACCTCATCCTCTCATCCTTTCAGCCAATGGACATCTAGGATACTGACAGTTGCAGAATATTACAATGAACACTCCACACCGTAACACCTCACAAAACATAATCTTATTGGATGGTGTGGTGACCAAAATTGTATCCCTAATACAAATGGTGACCAGAACTCAAAATGGCCACCAGAGAAGCCAAAAAGAGGTGTTTGTGTCCTGGATGAGGTCTGTCTTGACTTTGTTTCTATGATACACGCATAACCTCTATGACGATGTCAAGGGGTGAAGAGTCAGAGGTTAGAGGTCAAACAGGAGACAGGAAGTACATTTCAGGGCCACAGGACAAGGGGCTGGGGTCACGTGTTAAAAAGACATACACATTTCATAAAATCATCATGAACAAATCCAGTCATCTGATTGGTTCATCTCGGCGGCTGGTTGATTAATCGATTGAAATTATTGGCTGATGATTACATGGGGGGGGGGGAGGGAGGGGGGGGGGGGGGGGGCACACGTATGTTGGGGCAAAAGAGGCTGGTGAGGGGAGGATGCATTCACAGTAATGGATGGAATGGAATAAATGGATGGATGTGTTTGATATACCATTCCATTCATTCGTTACAGTTCCAGCCATTACTATGAACCCATCCTCCCATTTAAAGTGCCACCAGCCACCACTGGTTTGGGGTGACGCATATGTTGGGAGGGTGGCCACGCTGTTTGTACCTGCCCAGGAAATGCTCCTTTGGAGCCGTCCCGGAACTGGGGACGGGGCGAAGGACAGACCCAGAGAGGAGAGAGAGCCCACTGGACGAGCCAGGTCGCCAATCAACACAGTGCAGCCAATCACAAACCAGCGTGACAGGAAATATAAAATAATAAACCAATCCAAAACAAGGTAGAGGATAAAATGAATTTACAATGGAGGGAAAACAGTAGGAATTCAAATATGATAAAAAAAATATGATAAAGAAAGTGGATAAAATATCAAATGAAATTCACAATATATAAAATAGGGAACTAGTAAAAAATATATATATATATATGTGAAACATACGACAGACAGAAATGACAAAGGACTCCGCAACACAATGATGGAATTAGCAATGTGTGTGTGTGTTTTGTTATGTGTTTGTGAGCTAAGTCTAGCATCTTTCATCTTATGAAACCGGAACAAGAAACAGTGTTTGTTCACGAGGATCAACCTGAGCAAGGTGCATATATGATCTGATCTACAAATCACCCAGCTTCTAAATTAACTGACATTTGACCGATCCTGATGATATAGAGATCAGTGAATCTGTGGAGCACCTAGTTCAGACTGGCCCTCATGAACAAGCAGAGAGAGAGCGCCAAGCAGACTGGAGGGAGGTTCATGTTCAGTGAAGTACAGCAGTAGTTACTTCTCACAACCTGATGATGCCTGGGGAGCGATACTGGGGTGTCAGGAAAACAGTAGGTTTTTTAACCTGCTACACTGGACACAGATTTTAGATAGCATAAGCAGAGCGCCAGACACTTTATCAAGTGTTCTCGTTGTGTCTAAATCTTGAAAATAGAACCAGATGGTAATTTCACGCCCAGGTTTTATTCAGATGAATAGGAGCGTATCACGGAATTCTGCGTCCAGTGGATCAGGCCTGTAACACGCTGATCCAACTATACCACTTCTACCTCAATACAGTATTAACCATAAAGTCCATTCAATTAGGACAACCACTACCAGAGGTATTCCACACTGGAACCTGTGCAAAGGTAGACCACAAAAACACACAGACACAATATCCAACACACAGACACAATACACAATACTCAGACACAATACACAATACTCAACACACAATACTCAACTCACACACAATATCCAACACACAGACACAATACACAATACTCAACACACACACAATATCCAACACACAGACACAATACTCAACTCAACTCAACACACACACACACACACACACACACACATAAAATCCCCAACCCACCACTACACACCCTTTTCCTCTCCCCCCACAGCCTCCTCACCTGTGTTAGAGCGCTGGATGAGTCCAGGCTTGCCCCCTTGAATGGGGGTGGGTCCGGGGGGGTTAAGGGCCACGGGGGTCGGGGCGGGGGTGGCTGTGCTGGCGGGGGCGCTGGCGGTCTGGGTGGGGGGCTCCTTGACCCCCTCCATGGCCATGAGGACAGAGGACAGCTCCTGGAGAGGCATGTTACCCAGCTCAGAGGAGAAGGGACTGGGAGGGTTCTCCAGACACATCAACCAGCTGGTGTTACCTAGAGATGGAGAGATAAGTCAATTAACCCCCTGGAGTTGATTGACGCACCGGTGCGTCAATCTAAGTTCCATAACAAAAACATTCTCATAAAAATAGGTCAGTTTAAGCTAGAGATATCTGTTTATTTTGCATTGGATGCAATCCACAGCATCTGCCAGTGTCACACTTCCACATCTGTGGTGAAAGGTGGCAGAGCTAGAGCTTTGTCAGACCATGAGACATCCCGAAAATCTGTCTTCTCGCGTAAACATCTGTAGCGTCCGAACGGTTTGGCCTATAAACTCTATTGAAAGGGGAGACTCTCACAAACATGATGGCGTACTCCGTTTTGCTCTACGACCCCCACAAGTGTCAGGAGACTCGTCTGAAGTAGGTACTGCGATGTGCCAACCTCTGTTTGGTAGCGTCCAAACCGTTTGGGCTACAAACTATTGGGGCTCCACTGTGGAAAGGGGAGATTCCAATGAACACAATGGTGTTCTCCGTTCTGGTCTCGGACCCCCACAAGTGTCATGGGACTCGTCTGAAGGTAACCGGTACCGGTTTTAAAAAACAAATGGAAGTATGAAGGTAGTTTTGTGCCTACACAAAAAAGGGGTTAAATATGTGTAAAAAATATATATATATATATATACATACACCCTGAGTTCTTCTCCTAGATATAGGACAGACACTTCAAAACCTTGTTTCTTATGATTTATCTTTTGACTGTCCTTTTTGCCATTTATGAATGTGTTATTCAATGCAAGTTTCAATGGGCTTTAGTAGTAAATGCCAAAATCTATATTATATCAAATATTGTATATTTTTTTTATACCTAAAGGGGTCCTAAAATTTAAAATCAAATTGCTAAATGATCCATAGTATGACCATCATAAAACCATTCCATATGTCAGCTTAGCACCCTCCCCGCCCCCCCCGCCCCCCACTCCCCTAACGTCTTAGACTCTAAAGAATGAATGAATGAATGAACGAATGGATGAATGAATGAATCAGTCAGGTCGGAGGAGGAAGAGAGTAGAGAAGAAAAAAGAAGCCAGAGAGAAAATCATCTAAAATGGTCTCTTCCTGTAAACAAACAGATGAAGAGGAAGTTATTCAACAAGCGTGTGTTTGTGTGTGTGTGTATGCGATGTGTGTATGCGATGTGTGTATGCGATGTGTGTATGCAGACGTGAGTGCGTCTGAGTGTTTACCTGAGGGTCTGCGTATGAAGATCTCAGCCCATCCCTGGGTGAGCATGGGCAGGAACTCTGCCAGGCTGGGCTTGTCTTTGAGGGGGTCCTTAGGTGGGGCGCAGGGGGAGGGGGAGGGAGGCCCCAGGCCGTCCAGACAGGGGCCGGAGGAGGAGGAGGGGGGAGAGAGGGGGACACAACACAGCTCTCCCCCCTCAGAGGGTGAGACCAGGGGGCTGAGGCTCTGGACTGGACCTGCACGGAGAGCATGGCCACCTGGGGAAGGGGGGGTGAAGACAAAGGACAAAGAACGGGTAGAGAGAAGGAAAGATCTAGATTGTTAATTTTTTATTCAACCTTTATGTAACTAGGCAAGTCAGTTAAGAACAAATTATTGTGGCCTACCCCGGCCAAACCCTCCCCTAACCCGGACGGCGCTGGGCCAATTGTGCGCCGCCCTATGGGACTCCCGATCACGGCCGGTTGTGATACAGCCCGGGATTGAACCTGTGTCTGTAGTGACGCCTCTAGCACTGCTATGCAGTGCCTTAGACCGCTGCGCCACTCAGGATCCCTAGATAGAGAGAGACAGATAGATACGCTATATATACAAAAGTATATGGACACCCCTTCAAATTAGTGTATTCGGCTATTTCAGCCACACCCGTTGCTGACAGGTGTATAAAATCGAGCATGCAGCCATGCAATCTCCATAGACAAACATTGGCAGTAGAATGGCCTTACTGAGGAGCTCAGTGACCTTCAATGTGGCACCGCCATAGTCAAATTTCTGCCCTGCTAGAGCTTCCCCGGTCAACTGTAAGTGCTGTTAATGTGAAGTGGAAACGTCAGGAGCAACAATGGCTCAGCCGCGAAGTGATAGGCCACACAAGCTCACAGAACGGGACCGCCAAGTGCTGAAGCGCGTAAAAATCGTCTGTCCTCGGTCGGAACACTCTCTACCGAGTTCCAAACTGCCTCTGGAAGCAACGTCAGCACAATAACTGTTCGTCGGGAGCTTCATGAAATGGGTTTCCATGGCCGAGCAGCCGCACACAAGCCTAAGATCACCATGCGCAATGCCAAGCATCGTCTGGAGTGGTATAAAGCTTGCCGCAATTGGACTCTGGAGCAGTGGAAACGTGTTCTCTGGAGTGATGAATCACGCTTCACCATCTGGCAGTCCGACAGATGATTCTGGGTTTGGCGGATGCCAGGAGAACGCTACCTGCCCCAATGCATAAAGTTTGGTGGAGGAGGAATAATGTTCTTGGTCTGTTTTTCATGGTTCGGGCTAGGCCCCTTAGTTCCAGTGAAGGGAAATCTTAACACTACAGCATACAATGACATTCTAGATGATTCTGTGCTTCCAACTTTGTGGCAACAGTTTGGGGAAGGCCCTTTCCTTTTTCAGCATGCAATGCCCCCATTCACAAAGCGAGGTCCATACAGCAATGATTTGTCAAGATCGGTGTGGAAGAACTTGACTGGCCTGCACAGAGCCCTGACCTCAACCCCATCGAACACCTTTGGGATAAATTTGAACGCCGACTGCGAGCTAGGTCTAATCGCCCAACATCAGTGCCCGACCACTAATGCTCTTGTGGCTGAATGGAAGTCCCCGCAGCAATGTTCCAACATCTAGTGGAAAGCCTTACCAGAAGTGTGAAGGCTGTTTTAGCTGCAAAGGGGGGACCAACTCCTTATTAATGCCCATGATTTTGGAATGAGATGTTCGACGAGCAAGTGTCCACATACTTTTGGTCACGTAGTGAGCAAAAAAAGAAACGTCCCTTTTTCAGGACCCTGTCTTCAGGGATCAAAGATAATTCGTAAAAATAGTCCGGGTAGCCATGATTAGCTGTTCAGGAGTCTTATGGCTTGGGGGTAGAAGCTGTTGAGAAGCCTTTTGGACCTAGACTATTTTTTTACAAATAAATGTGTAAAAAAAATTGATTAAGGCTAACAAAATGTGGAAAAAGTCAGTGTGTATGTGTGTGTGTGTGAGAGAGAGACAGAGAGAGCGAGAGAGAACATCCTCTTCCTACCTGACATGGATCGTACTCTGATGCGTGTGGCTCTGTTGAGCTGTTGACTGGACTGGGACTCCAGTTTGGCCGGAGCCTCTTTGGTCTGACGGGTGTGGAGGGACGGGTCTGACCTACAGGGGGCGGGAGAGAGACAGTACATTACTGAGGAGTGTGTGTGTGTGTGTGTGTGTGTGTGTGTGTGCACGCGTTACAGTGTGTGTGTGTGTGTGGGTGGTTACCTGCTCATCTCTCCCCCTCCTCCCAGCCTCTCCACCATGTCCATTCCCAGTAGTGCCTGGCTTCTGACCCCACCGCTGGTCGTTATGGTGATCAGCTTGTTACCCACCAGCCAGGTCATACTGCGACCCCCCGCCAGAAGGAACTCTGCTATAGGAGACCTGGGGGGGGGGGGGGTCAAAGGTTAAGGGTCAGGGGTCAAGGCTACTTAGTTCTGAAGGCTTATGGCAATTGATAATCATATAAGGCAACCTTTTGTCCTTTTCCCGTTCTGATTGTGTGAATAATGAAGACTAGAGTGAAGACCCACAGTTCACCTAATAAATGCATATAATATCCAGTGGTCAACACAGCTTTAACCCCCGTCCGTCCGTCCGTCCGTACCTCTTGGGCAGGGCTGAGAAGTTGGAGAAGACGTATCTAGCCATCATGTCCAGACAGGTCTCAGTTAACTCCAGGTGGACAGTCTTTAACCCATCATCTGCCTGGGTCACAGTGTTCTCATCAGAAGAACCCAGACTACACGTGGTGCTGGAGGTCTGCATCCTACAGCCATGGGGCGCCAGAGAGCGTGTCAGAGAGACAGGGGAGAGTGAGACACGCACATACAGTGGGGGGAAAAAAAGTATTTAGTCAGCCACCAATTGTGCAAGTTCTCCCACTTAAAAAGATGAGAGAGGCCTGGAATTTTCATCATAGGTACACGTCAACTATGACAGACAAATTGAGAAAAAAAATTCCAGAAAATCACATTGTAGGTTTTTTATGAATTTATTTGCAAATGATGGTGGAAAATAAGTATTTGGTCACCTACAAACAAGCATGACTCTCACAGACCTGTAACTTCTTCTTTAAGAGGCTCCTCTGTCCTCCACTCGTTACATGTATTAATGGCACCTGTTTGAACTTGTTATCAGTATAAAAGACACCTGTCCACAACCTCAAACAGTCACACTCCAAACTCCACTATGGCCAAGACCAAAGAGCTGTCAAAGGACACCAGAAACAAAATTGTAGACCTGCACCAGGCTGGGAAGACTGAATCTGCAATAGGTAAGCAGCTTGGTTTGAAGAAATCAACTGTGGGAGCAATTATTAGGAAATGGAAGACATACAAAACCACTGATAATCTCCCTCGATCTGGGGCTCCACGCAAGATCTCACCCCGTGGGGTCAAAATGATCACAAGAACGGTGAGCAAAAATCCCAGAACCACACGGGGGGACCTAGTGAATGACCTGCAGAGAGCTGGGACCAAAGTAACAAAGCCTACCATCAGTAACACACTACGCCGCCAGGGACTCAAATCCTGCAGTGCCAGACGTGTCCCCCTGCTTAAGCCAGTACATGTCCAGGCCCGTCTGAAGTTTGCTAGAGTGCATTTGGATGATCCAGAAGAGGATTGGGAGAATGTCATATGGTCAGATGAAACCAAAATATAACTTTTTGGTAAAAACTCAACTCGTCGTGTTTGGAGGACAAAGAATGCTGAGTTGCATCCAAAGAACACCATACCTACTGTGAAGCATGGGGGTGGAAACATCATGCTTTGGGGCTGTTTTTCTGCAAAGGGACCAGGACGACTGATCCGTGTAAAAGGAAAGAATGAATGGGGCCATGTATCGTGAGATTTTGAGTGAAAACCTCCTCAGCAAGGGCATTGAAGATGAAACGTGGCTGGGTCTTTCAGCATGACAATGATCCCAAACACACCGCCCGTGCAACGAAGGAGTGGCTTCGTAAGAAGCATTTCAAGGTCCTGGAGTGGCCTAGCCAGTCTCCAGATCTCAACCCCATAGAAAATCTTTGGAGGGAGTTGAAAGTCCGTGTTGCCCAGCGACAGCCCCAAAACATCACTGCTCTAGAGGAGATCTGCATGGAGGAATGGGCCAAAATACCAGCAACAGTGTGTGAAAACCTTGTGAAGACTTACAGAAAGCGTTTGACCTGTGTCATTGCCAACAAAGGGTATATAACAAAGTATTGAGAAACTTTTGTTATTGACCAAATACTTATTTTCCACCATAATTTGCAAATAAATTCATTAAAAATCCTACAATGTGATTTTCTGTATTTTTTTCCCTCATTTTGTCTGTCATAGTTGACGTGTACCTATGATGAAAATCACAGGCCTCTCTCATCTTTTTAAGTGGGAGAACTTGCACAATTGGTGGCTGACTAAATACTTTTTTCCCCCACTGTACACCAGTGGAGCCTGCTGAGGGGACGACGGCTCATAATAATGTCTGGAATGGAGTCAATGGAATGGTATCAAAATGTGTTTGATACCATTCACTCCATTCCATCCATTACACTCCATTCCAACCGTTATTATGAGCCGTCCTCCCCTCAGCAGCCTCCACTGACACACACAGAGAGGAAGGCATGCAATCTCGGAATCACACACACACGCAGCAATGCATTATCTCTCACACACACACGCAGCAATGCATTATCTCTCACACACACACAGCAATGCATTATCTCTCACACACACACGCAGCAATGCATTATCTCTCACACACACGCAGCAATGCATTATCTCTCACACACACACAGCAATGCATTATCTCTCACACACACGCAGCAATGCATTATCTCTCACACACACGCAGCGATGCATTATCTCTCACACACACGCAGCAATGCATTATCTCTCACACACACACAGCAATGCATTATCTCTCACACACACGCAGCAATGCATTATCTCTCACACACACGCAGCAATGCATTATCTCTCACACACACAGCCTGGCTTTTACCTTTCACTCAGGTGTACACCGCTGATGTAAGCAAACACAGATAAGCAAATATCTCTCGCTCTCACACACAAATGAGCTGGGACTTGGTATGAGTAACTGTAGCAGAAGCCTGGGCGTTTGAAATGATCTGTCATCTGTTCCCTCTGTGAATCTGAAGTGCTTACTGCTGACAGTGTGTCCCCATCTACAAAGACACAGGAACCACAGCTGGTTTCAGAGATAGAGGAAGATGAGGCGCTTTTATGTTGAGGGACAGAGAATACTAGAACAACATGCTACTCAGAACTGAGGGCCAGGGGAACTGTTTTGAGTGCTGTGTATTGTAATAGCCCCCCTGATCTAAATCTCCCAGCATTCATCCGTGGAGACCCCATTGGCATCTCAGTAACCACGGTAACCACTGCCACTCCCTCTCCACCAGGGGAAATCAGAACTATTGGAACACCTCTAACGGAACACACAGCTACTGTTCTGTTCTGTAGGACAACGAGACACGAGACCAAGGCAAAGTTAAACCTGTCTTCAAGAGGAATGCAATGACTACAGTGAATGGGTTTGATGTAGGAACCAAGAGTTCAGACAAACACCGTCCAAACTACAACAGAATCTAGTTAGGAAGTAATCTTACGGATTAAACACAAATAAATGCAGCCTCTATGTCCACACGTCTACATGAAAGATATCTACATGATATACTAGATATTGAGAAGTCTCTCTGTATGTGTTGTAAACTAATGTAAATCATTCAAACTGTCTGTCTCCCTGCCTGCCTGTCTGTCTGTTTAAATCACCAAGACTTTAAACGTGTGATCCTTCAGCCCAAACACTGAGACAGTAGCAGGGATAAAAGAAAGGGGGATGAAGATAGGACGGAGAGATGGAGATAGGACGGAGAGAGGATGGAGAGATGGAGAGAGGATGGAGAGATGAATATAGGATGACATAACCATAGCCCTGTAGAGGAAGGCACAAGTGAGAGTGACGCAGGAGACAGAGAAGAGGAGAGGAGGTGAAGAAGAGGAGAGGAGAAGAAGAAGAGAAGAGAGAAGGAGAGGAGAAGAGGAGAAGAGCATTCCTTCTTTCTTCCTTCCTTCTTTCTCTGTAAGTGGCTCATCCCTCTAGAAGTTATTTTCCCTCTACCTGCATCAGTTCTGTCCGTCTTGTGTAACAGAATATAAAAACGCATTGTCTGTGTCTCAAATGGCATCAACCCAACATTAACACAACTGATTAGAGCTGGGCCAAATAACTCACTAACTATGATATTAAATCCAGACCATGATTATTTAAAATCAGGTGCATTAGTGCGGAACTGAAACAAAAGCATGTAGACACTGCAGCTCGCGCTCCCTAATGCTATCACTATTGCTAATACTATCGCTAACGCTATCACTATTGCCAGCACTATTGTTAATGCTATTGCTATCGCTACTGCTAATGCTATCGCTACTGCTAATGCTATCGCTAACTCAGACCAAGTCCCAGTTTGTGACCAGCATTACCCAGCAGCACAGTGTACACAGCAAGCAGAGTGTTCAACCCTTAAATTGACCCTTGACCCGGCTGCACTGACCCAGCTGCTCTGGTGGACACCCATTCAGACCGCCATGACCACAAAATGACCAAGAACATCTTTCTCTTATCTCACCAGATCCGTACCGTCCTTCAGGTAGTCTTTTGGGGAGCACATCATTACAGTGTGATTATCACCTTAACCTGGTCATATTGAACATGAAGTCCATGGTTTAGTGTAAGATAAAGTCTAGAACCCTATTCCCTACACAGGGCTCTACCTTGACCAGGAATGAGATATAAGGTGCCATTTGGGACGTAGTGACGGTCCCATCATGAATTCCAGTACCCTAAACCCTAAACCCCTTAAAGCAGAACTACATAGAGTCTGAGGGAAGGCGTCCACCATTCAGTAGGGTTCTGTGTCAGTCTCTTATCTGTTATTACTGGGCTGTGTCTCAATCCATAAGGACGCTGCCTCTTGAGGAGGGAGGCAGCGAGCCTTTTGGAATGAGACATGGCCGTAGTGTTATCTAACATCAGTTTATCCAGCCAGCCATCACAACAACAGCAGCTCTTTCAACATAGATCAGCATTGCAGCAGTGGCTGTGTCCGATTGGGTTTTTCCACAACCTTCTCTCTCTCTCCGCCCCCTCTCTCTCTGTGTTCAAACAAATAAAGAGGAAATGCTCTGTTGTGTTGAACTTAAACACATTTGACGTGTTCCATTGAAGGACAGACAAAACCTGTCTTGATACCTGCGCTGTGCCAAAAGCATTTAGGCATACCTTTATTAGCTAAAAAGACAAAAGTTCAAAACGTTGCTTTGAATGTTTTCAACGACAAAAAAAGCTGTCTGACTGTCGCTTTGGAGTTAAGAGGTACGGACTAAGGAGAGCGAGGAGGGGGGCACTGTTAAAATGAAATGAAAGATTCCTTGAATGGCAGTTAAAGCTAAGTTAAAAACAGTTGAATAGGGCTGACTGACTCCCTGTTGCTAGTAGGAGTGTGTGTGTGTGCATTCGTGTGTAAGAAAGCAGACCACTAGTGGAAGGCAGGCAGAACACCTGTAGCTAGCAGGTACCGCTGAGGCACTAAGTCTGTGGTCGAGTCCCAAATGGCACCCTATTCCCTATGTAGTGCACTACTACCTTTGACCAGGGCCCATAGGGAACCCATAGGGCTCTGGTCAAAGGTAGTGCACTATGAAGGGAATTGGGTACCATTTGGGACGTAAGCCATAGTCACACACTGAGGTGAGTCCGTTAGACCTTCTGTTTTGAGGAATCTCAAATACTGTACTTTCTCATAGGCACAGATCTAGGATCAGCTTGCCCCAATCCTATCCCTAACCATCAGAGGGGAAACACAAAACTGGCCTTGGATCAGTGTGTAGGGGGGGGGGAGCTCCTCAGGCTGTATTCAGACTCTACTCTACTGACAGTCTCCTGTCCCCTGCTGGTCAGGAGTAGTACCGACCGCCATCCAGATTCCACTAAACAATATAAGTCTCTGTAACAGGGACTGGAAAGCTATGCACTTCTTCCTCCGTCTCCTTGGGACAATATAAGTCTCTGTAACAGGGACTGGAAAGCTATGCACTTCTTCCTCCGTCTCCTTGGGACAATATAAGTCTCTGTAACAGGGACTGGAAAGCTATGCACTTCTTCCTCCGTCTCCTTGGGACCATTTTGATTAAAACGAGTACTTGAGTAGCCTGTTCCCAGATCTGTTTGTGCTCTTGCCAACTCCATTGCTCATTGGCATGACAATGAGTTACCGTGACAACACAGACTGGCACTCAGGCTAGTATTTGACAGCTGCCTAGTTGAGTGTCAGCGGAGCTAATTCGCTATCTGACAGACCGCTCAATAGCAACCTATGGACGCCTATGGGTTTGAGAAGAACACAGAGACGAAGAGAGGGAAGTGATTAAACATTATCTAACCACCACGGACTGCAATGTCTGATCCCTTTCATTCACTCAGTCAGTCACTCTCACAGTCAAGCTGCTAGGTAAGTATGTGTAGTGATTTGGTGCATGGCAGGAGTCATTGTTTGAGTCAGTTGGAGAGAGATAGACATCACAAAACCCCAAACCCAGTCATTAATAGGGTTGCACAATTCTGGTAACTTTCCCCAAATTCCCAGTTTTTTCCAGAAATCCCGGTTGGAATATTCCTGGAATCTGGAAGGAATGATCGGGAAATCCAGGAATTTTCCAACCGGGATTTCTTGAAAAACCTGGGAATTCTGGGAAAGTTACCGGAATTTTGCAACCCTGGTCATCAACGAACCCCAACATCCCACAGACAGACAGATGGTTGTATATCAGCGAAGGTAGCTGAACACTGTTCAAGCCTGGTCATCAACGAACCCCAACATCCCACAAACAGACAGATGGTTGTATATCAGCGAAGGTAGCTGAACACTGTTCAAGCGTCTGTGGGTCAAACAAATGGAATGCAAAAGAAAACTGCGCAGGCAGCGTGCAAAGCATGTGTGTTGTGTGTGAGCCTGAATTCTCATTGGCCCATAGCGCATTAGTCCCCTCCCACAGAGAAGAGGGAAAGCCAAACATTGGTTGCAGTGGCTGTCAGTCTTGTCTCAGTACACTGTTTTTCTCCAGCCATTCATCAGTCAGTTGGGTAAATTAAATCCAGTCAGCACAGCAACACCCAGCAAACACCACAACCAAAACAAACCAAAACAACTATTCATAACAAACTAAAGCATCAGAGAAAGAAAAGAAGCCAAAACGGGATTAACTCAAACAGAAAAACATTCACAGAAATCTAGATGTTTTCGGAAGCACAAACTGCATGCAGCAAAATAAGTCAAATGTAGTAAAAAAAATTTTTTTAATAATTAAAATTGCAGCCCAAAAAACCAAACAACAAATAAACCCTCCTCCAGCATGCAACCGCCGCACAACCCAGGTTTTCCTGGCAACCGCCCGCCGGTCCTCATGACAATGGCTCCCGCCCCCACCAAGCCCCGCCCCCCAACGGAAGCAGGAAATTGTATTTTCTGGGTTTTATTTCCTGGTTACCCAGAGTGCTCTCTACCTGCGCACCGCGTGGTCGGAGACGCTGATGCTTCGGGAGCGGAAGGCGTCCATGGCCGACAGATCTCTCAGCTCTTTAACGGGTGAGCCGGTACTCGCCGCTACACCTGCTGCCATTGCCAATGACGCCTGCTGCTGCTGGTGGTGAGCCTTTGCCATTTTGGCTGCCCGTAGACTGGGGACCATGGCAACGTGGCAGGAGTGGAGGGTGGGGGGGGGGGGTTAGTGTGTGTGGGCAAGGGGGTGGGTGGGATTGTGTGTTGGCAAAAGGGACAGGGAGAGAGGTAACGGCCAACAGGAAATGGAATTCAGGAAATGTTGCCCGTCACGTCAGAACGGCCCCGCACGACCACCAGGTGACCAACGGACACACGTCACGGAAGGATGAGGGGCAAGGGGAGGCACGAAGGTCAAAGGGTCAGAGGGCGAAGGTCAGGGGGCGAGCAGAAGAGAGTGCCAATTGCAATGGAGGGATCCAGGGTGTCGCCGACCCCCCCGAAACCACGCCCACAACGCAGCGCCCAGTCAGAGGAGGGGAGGGGGGAGGGGTCAAAACAGCCAAAGAGTAAACAAAAACAAACAAACAAACAAAAACAATTTGAGAAAATTAACAGCAGTGAACACTATGAACCGGACAAATACGAAGAGAAAAATAAGAAAGGAAGGAAGGAAGGAAGGAAGGAAGGAAGGAAGGAAGGAAGGAAGGAAGGAAGGAAGGAAGGAAGGAAGGAAGGAAGGAACAACCATAAAGCAGTAGGGAGATAAACAGCGTCGGCTTTTTCACAACAAAAACAACAAACTATTCCTGAAAGAAAATGAGACATCATCACATTAAGCAGCAAGAGGAGACGCCCACGTTGTTATGACTGAGGATGCGTCCCAAATGGCGCCCTATGCCCTATATGGGTCAGAAGTAGTGCACTATAAAGGGAATAGGGCGCCATTTGGGACGCATTGATCTGTTATAGAGGATGGACTCAGAGCAGGGTCGGAGGGGTTAAAACAATCAACACAACAGCTGAAACAACCAACTCAAAAGATCAACATGGTCCGAGGAGGGTTAATACAAAACACCAACAATCAACACAACAAGGTGTAAGGAAGAGATTAAACACAACAAATGATAGAACTAACTGAAAGAAATGTGTAGGATAAAGCAGGGTTTGGAGCAGAGCATGCCTGATCTAAACACAAGAACCAATAAATCATGATCTACTCTTTAACTACAAACTGAGGTCTTATGTACTGCGACACATTGTCCATCTACAACTCTAAGACATAGTTGGATTCTGTAACTACTAGAAAGGTGAAGTTACAGGAGAAACTATGTTTAATGTGTGAATATTCTAATCATAGCCTAACTGCATAGTTTTTTTAAACGTTCATTACTTTATCAAAATACCTACAACCTCAAAAGGGACCCTGGTACAATTCTCCCTTTATTATTATACAGCCATCTTAGATCTGTTTTTAGACCTGACATGCATCTCTCCAACTCCTACAGAGGCACAGTAGCTACAGTAAGTATACACAGGAGCAGGACAGGGTTAGGGGGTCTGGGAAGGTTGGGTGGGGGTCAGGACAGGGTTAGGGGGTCTGGGGAGGTTGGGTGGGGGTCAGGACAGGGTTAGGGGGTCTGGGAAGGTTGGGTGGGGGTCAGGACAGGGTTAGGGGGTCTGGGAAGGCTGGGTGGGGGTCAGGACAGGGTTAGGGGGTCTGGGAAGGTTGGGTGGGGGTCAGGACAGGGTTAGGGGGTCTGGGAAGGTTGGGTGGGGGTCAGGACAGGGTTAGGGGGTCTGGGAGGTTGGGTGGGGGTCAGGACAGGGTTAGGGGGTCTGGGAGGTTGGGTGGGGGTCAGGACAGGGTTAGGGGGTCTGGGAAGGTTGGGTGGGGGTCAGGACAGGGTTAGGGGGTCTGGGAAGGTTGGGTGGGGGTCAGGACAGGGTTAGGGGGTCTGGGAGGTTGGGTGGGGGTCAGGACAGGGTTAGGGGGTCTGGGGAGGTTGGGTGGGGGTCAGGACAGGGTTAGGGGGTCTGGGAAGGTTGGGTGGGGGTCAGGACAGGGTTAGGGGGTCTGGGAAGGTTGGGTGGGGGTCAGGACAGGGTTAGGGGGTCTGGGAAGGTTGGGTGGGGGTCAGGACAGGGTTAGGGGGTCTGGGAAGGTTGGGTGGGGGTCAGGACAGGGTTAGGGGGTCTGGGAAGGTTGGGTGGGGGTCAGGACAGGGTTAGGGGGTCTGGGAAGGTTGGGTGGGGCTCAGGACAGGGTTAGGGGGTCTGGGACGGTTGGGTGGGGGTCAGGACAGGGTTAGGGGGTCTGGGAAGGTTATGTGGGGGTCAGGACAGGGTTAGGGGGTCTGGGAAGGTTAGGTGGGGGTCAGGACAGGGTTAGGGGGTCTGGGACGGTGGGGGTCAGTACAGGGTTAGGGGGTCTGGGACGGTGGGGGTCAGTACAGGGTTAGGGGGTCTAGGACGGTGGGGTAGGGGTCAGTACAGGGTCTGGGACGGTGGGGGTCAGGACAGGGTTAGGGGGTCTGGGACGGTGGGGGTCAGTACAGGGTTAGGGGGTCTGGGACGGTGGGGTAGGGGTCAGTACAGGGTCTGGGACGGTGGGGGTCAGTACAGGGTCTGGGACGGTGGGGGTCAGTACAGGCTCTTAATTGAACATTGTTATTATGTGTTACTATGGAGAATTACCATGGGAGTGTGCTAGGACTAGCTGGTTACTATGGGAGTGTGCTCGTTACAATGGTGGGTTACTATGGGAGCATGGGCGTTGCCATGGAGGGCACAAAGAAATCAGGAAGTTACATTTTGGGCGCCAACAGAAGAGGAGAGGGAAAGCAGGAGAGGAGAAAGTAGGAGAGAGAATCTACTCTCTCCCCAAAGTGGAGGAGATTTTCTGTTAAAGTTAAATCTCCTCACAATCACGAAGAAACAAGGGAGGAAAAGGGAGTGGAGGGTTGGGCCCCAAGTCCATCGTCAACATTGGTGCATGAAGTCAACTTGCTCACAGAATTAAAAAGAGCGATTCTAGACGATGTCAGTTAGGTCAGGACTTGATTATGACAGAACTAAGCTGGTTAGCCGGGGCTTTTGATTGACACTCCAAGGGACCGTTAGGGTGGCTTGGTTATGGGTAGGGGTGGGACTTAGGTGGGACGGGGGTTAAGGAAGTCACTTTTGTTATTATTCTAAGACGGGATATTTTATAACGTGATTTTATAAGATGATTTTATAAGTATTTTATAATGTGGTTTTATAAGATGATTTTGGGGATTATTTCTCTGAGCGTCTCTTTAATAGATCTCAGTCAAACAGCTGCCCTGCTGAGAAAAACTCCCTTTAAACAGAGAGAGAGAGTGTGTGTGTGTGTGTGTGTGTGTGTGTGTGTGTACGGTGACAATTTTACTGAAGTCATTAGTCACTGACACGAGAGAGAGCGAGAGAGAGACAGAGCGAGAGAGAGACAGAGCGAGAGAGAGAGCGCGAGAGAGCGAGACAGAGAGCGAGACAGAAAGCGAGACAGAGAGCGAGAGACAGAGCGAGAGAGAGAGAGACAGAGCGAGAGAGAGACAGAGAGCGAGAGAGAGACAGAGAGCGAGAGAGAGACAGAGCGAGAGAGAGACAGAGCGAGAGAGACAGAGCGAGAGAGACAGAGAGCGCGAGAGAGAGACAGAGCGAGAAAGACCCACACTCCTCTCTTCGACCTCTTTGTGTATGTTGTGGTAATAATGTGAATGAGTGGACTTGAGACAACAACAACCAACAGAAAATATTTACCAACAAAAAACAAACGACCAAAACACAGAGAAATGATCACCATAGCAACCTGTGGGAAACCATAACAACCATCACACCACAACAACGACAGTCATGCTGAGTCCTGTGTTACCCTGACAACACCAACCTCCTGTACGGGGCATGCAGTCACAAGATCTACAATGAGCAGTCATGTGACCCGGCCGTGTGTGTAGTGTGTGTGTGTGTGTGTGTGTGTGTATAGTGTGTGTGTAGTGTGTGTAGTGTGTGTACCTCTTGGGCCTCTCATTGAGGCTGGTGCTGCGAGCGCGGAAGCTGCTCTGGGTGTCGTGGGTGTCATCAAACGGCATCAGAGCATTGGAGCGCAGACCCTGGAGAGAGGGGGGGGGGGGGGGGGGGCGAGAGAGAGAGAGACAGTAGAAAGGAGGAGGGAGTGGATACAACAAAAATGACTCAGGAAAAAGGGAGACTATTACACACGTGGAAACACAGAACACACACCTACCTTGGTGATGTACTGCACAAAGTCCTTTCTGAAGGTGAGTCTGCAGCGGATAAACCACATGGAGATGACATGGTGAGCCAACGACACAATGTACTGGTTAAACCTGGAGAGAGAGAGGGAGGGAGAGAGAGAGAGAGGGAGAGAGTGAAAAGGATGGTGGTATAGAGAGGAGGGAGGGAGAGAGTGTGAGGGAGGTAGAGAAAGAGAGTGAGAGTGTTTGTGAGCGTGCGTGCGTGCATACGTACGTGTTGAGTGTGTGTGCGTACTCACTTGGAGGGGTTGGTGTAGGGCAGGGAGATGGCGAACACACTGACGTACTGCTCTGCTACGAAGTTAGCATAGAGATGGGGCAGCCGCACCAGAGCTACGATACACACACACACAGTTAGCATGACATAATCTAACCTTGCCATGTGACACCATCATCAACAGGTAAGGATGTAATTGGATCACTGAGTTATCTTTACTGTAAAGACATTGTAAAGTATATAACATGACTGTGTGAGGTATATTAGGTGTGTTTCCCATATGTAAACATTATCTAACATGAATTAGGAAGTGAAATATGAAGAATCCTTCACACATTCATTGGCTGATCTAACTTCCTGTATATACAGATCCTGCTCTCTGATTGGCTTATATCTATCAGGGCGGGAAAATGAGGGTGTGTTCTCACTGGACAGGAATTCCAGCATGGGCGACGCCATGGCGACGGTCGCCGAGATGTGCGTCAGCTTGACGATGAGGGCGGGGAGGAGTTTAATCATGATGTCAGGCATCTCCACGGTGCACATTGTCAGGGCAACCACACACTGCTTGGCACAGCGGTATATCAGCCCTGTCTCCAAACACTGAACCAACTCCCTCTGAGAGATGAAGGTAGGGAGAGAGAGAACAGAGGAGAGAGAGAGAACAATGATAATATTATGTATGTTCAGGGGTTGACATTAAGCTCTCAAAAGGCACAAGCCCAAATGTTTTATTTTCTGTTAGGCCTACACCCGCAAATGCCATCAATGGAATTGTCTTTCACTCAAACATAGGCTCATGAAATGTACTTTATGGTGAACGAGCCATAGTATTTACTGATTTCAAAAATATATTCACCAGCCACTCAGACTTTTTACTGGCCCTAAAAGAAAAGTGATGTTGCATATAGACCCTGGAAAACCAGTAAAACCACAGAAAACCTCTACAGTAGCCTAATAGTAGCCAAGTGAAAAAAAGATTCAACTGTCATTTTAGTGAACTATCCCTTTAATGATGAGAGCCGCAAGAAATATGCTTTTCCACAAGCCTTTTTCTCATGGAAAATGAATGAAAATGTAAACACACTGGCTAGCTAGCACACTGGAGCTAGTAGCACAGTAGACAACTAAATATGAACTAAATATTAATCATATAACTAAATATAATGTTTATATTCTCTGTCTAAACTGGAAAAACAGTTGCTTGAGTTGAGGTGTTTGCTAAATGAAGGACTGCAAACGCTGCGACTCACCGTTTATTCCCTTAATAGTGGGAGTTGAGACATACAGTTAACAGCACTAGAAAGCTACAATTCTTCCCCTTTTAACCAAGTTACCCGCATTTGGCAGGTGTTAATGTTTTGCCATCTGTTTGGGCAGGCTTTTGTTAAAAATGTAACTAAGTAGACTAATGCTTCTAATGAAAATACGCTCTTTGCCTTCATCAAAACAATGTTTTCGTTGCATATTTCAGTGTGTGTGCTTGTGTACCTGTCTGGCCTGTTCTAGGTAGTTGTGGTATGATGTGATAGCTGTGAGAACAGGCACTACAGCCAGCTGGACGTCAGTACGACTGAAACCGTCTGGAGTCTTCTTCAGACGCTCTGAGATAAGACGGTCTGTTACCTAGACAGAGAGAGACAGAGGGAGAGACAGAGAGAGACAGAGACAGAGAGAGACACACAAACACACAGGCACAAATCCACAGCGTCAGAGAGAGACCTAAGTGACAATAATGTGTTGTTACATTCCCCACCAAGAAAACCAAATAATGTATCTCAAACAGAAGGGGGAACTAACACTGACCAACAACCTAAATGAAACAGGTGGGGTTTTAGGAGGGGTTCTGAAAGACACTCATGGGGTAGTCCACAGAAAGTTGACTAGCAACAACAACTGGGACCTAAAAGACACCCACCATGAGACCCACTAAATTTGCCCAAGAAGAGACAAACAAAAGAAGAAAAAAAAAAACACACCAAACTTAAAGACAGGAAGCAAACCACAAAGTGGAGCAAGACCAAATCAGGGAAATCAGATAAAGGATTGTTCGTCCAGAAATCAAAATAGGGAGAGACAACTAAAGGTGTTAACCCTCCATCTATCAAGACAACTAAATGAGTTAACCCTCCATCTATCAAGACAACTAAAGGAGTTAACCCTCCATCTATCAAGACAACTGAAGGTGTTAACCCTCCATCTATCAAGACAACTAAAGGTGTTAACCCTCCATCTATCAAGACAACTAAAGGAGTTAACCCTCCATCTATCAAGACAACTGAAGGTGTTAACCCGCCATCTATCAAGACAACTAAAGGTGTTAACCCTCCATCTATCAAGACAACTAAAGGAGTTAACCCTCCATCTATCAAGACAACTAAAGGTGTTAACCCTCCATCTATCAAGACAACTAAAGGAGTTAACCCTCCATCTATCAAGACAACTAAAGATGTTAACCCTCCATCTATCAAGACAACTAAATGAGTTAACCCTCCATCTATCAAGACAACTAAAGATGTTAACCCTCCATCTATCAAGACAACTAAAGGTGTTAACCCTCCATCTATCAAGACAACTAAAAGAGTTAACCCTCCATCTATCAAGACAACTAAAGGTGTTAACCCTCCACATCTATCAAGACAACTAAAGGTGTTAACCCTCCATCTATCAAGACAACTAAAGGTGTTAACCCTCCATCTATCAAGACAATTAAAGGTGTTAACCCTCCATCTATCAAGACAACTAAAGGTGTTAACCCTCCACATCTATCAAGACAACTAAAGGTGTTAACCCTCCATCTATCAAGACAACTAAACGTGTTAACCCTCCACATCTATCAAGACAACTAAAGGTGTTAACCCTCCATCTATCAAGACAACTGGAGCACTGGGTCAGCCACTCTTAAATAGCACCTGGGCCCGCACAGGTGAAAAACCTTCCGACTAACCAGATGGCAACAAGCACAGGTGTAACACATAATGACTGACGAGGTGACATCAATCAGTGCGCCCTAACGTGCTAACGTCCAACCTCAAAACATAGATGGAAAAACCAAAACCTGTAACAGTGTGTACCATAACACAGAGTGTAGAACAGAGCTGGTCTATGCTGCAGGGAGAGGACAGCAGCAGGACTTTATACTGCAGGGTCCAGGACATCTTATCTAGCACCAGCTTCAACACCTTCCAGTCGGTCTCCTGTAACACAGAGACACACACAGAGGAAGAGAGACACACACACAGAGTCACGCACAGAGAGAGGGAGAGAGACACACACAGGGTTAGGGAGGGAGAGAGAGACACACAGGGTTAGGGGGGAGAGAGAGACACAGGGTTAGGGAGGGGAGAGAGACACACAGGGTTAGGGAGGGAGAGAGACACACAGGGTTAGGGAGGGAGAGAGACACACAGGGTTAGGGAGGGAGAGAGACACAGGGTTAGGGAGGGAGAGAGACACACAGGGTTAGGGAGGGAGAGAGACACAGGGTTAGGGAGGGAGAGAGACACACAGGGTTAGGGAGGGAGAGAGACACACAGGGTTAGGGAGGGAGAGAGACACACACAGGGTTAGGGAGGGAGAGAGACACACACAGGGTTAGGGAGGGAGAGAGAGACACACAGGGTTAGGGAGGGAGAGAGAGACACACAGGGTTAGGGGGGGAGAGAGACACACAGGGTTAGGGAGGGAGAGAGACACACACAGGGGTTTGGAGGGAAGAACACACACAGGGTTAGGAGGGAGAGAGACACACAGGGTTAGGGAGGAGAGACACCACAGGGTTAGAGAGGAGAGAGACACACCAGGGTTAGGGAGGGAGAGAGAGACACACAAAGGTTAGGGGGGAGAGAGACAACACAGGGTTAGAGGAGGGAGAGAGACACACAGGGTTAGGGAGGAGAGACACACACGGGTTAGGGAGGGAGAGAGACACCACAGGGTTTAGGGAGGAGAGAGACACACACAGGGTTAGGGAGGGAGAGAGACACACAGGGTTAGGGAGGGAGAGACACACAGGGTTAGGGAGGGAGAGAGACACACAGGGTTAGGGAGGGAGAGAGACACACAGGGTTGGGAGGGAGAAAAGACACACAGGGTTAGGGAGGGAGAGACACACACAGGGTTAGGGGGGAGAGAACACACAGGGTTAGGGGGGAGAGAGACACACAGGGTTAGGGAGGGAGAGAGACACACAGGTTAGGGGGGAGAGAGACACACAGGGTTAGGGGGGGAGAGAGACACACAGGGTTAGGGGAGAGAGAGACACACAGGGTTAGGGAGGGAGAAGAGACACACAGGGTTAGGGAGGGAGAGAGACCACAGGGTTAGGAGGGAGAGAGAAAACACAGGTTAGGGAGGAGAGAGACACACACAGGGGGGGGGTTTGGAGGGAGAGAGACACACAGGGTTAGGAGGAGGGAGACACAGGGTTAGGGAGGGAGAGAACACACACAGGGTTAGGGAGGGAGAGAGACACAAGGGTTAGGGAGGGAGAGAGACAACAGGGTTAGGGAGGGAGAGAGACACACACAGGGTTAGGGAGGAGAGAGACACAGGGTTAGGGAGGGAGAGAGACACAACAGGGTTAGGAGGGAGAGAGACACACACACAGGGTTAGGGAGGGAGAGAGACACACAGGGTTAGGGAGGGAGAGAGACACACAGGGTTAGGGAGGGAGAGACACACAGGGTTAGGGAGGAGAGAGACACACAGGGTTAGGGAGGGAGAGAGACACACAGGGTTAGGAAGGGAGAGAGACACACAGGGTTTAGGGAGGGAGAGAGACACACAGGTTAGGGGGAAGACACACAGGGTTGGGAGGGAGAGAGACACACACAGGGGTTAGGGAGGGAGAGACACACAGGGTTAGGGAGGGAGAGAGAGCACACAGGTTAGGGAGGGAGAGAGACACACCCGGGTTAGGGAGGGAGAGACACACAGGGTTAGGGAAGGAGAGAGCACACAGGGTTAGGGAGGGAGAGAGAACACAGGTTTAGGGAGGGAGAGAGACACACAGGGTTAGGGAGGGAGAGAGACCACAGGGTTAGGGAGGGAGAGAGACACCAGGTTAGGGAGGGAGAGAGACACACAGGGTTAGAGAGGGAGAGACACACACAGGTAGGAGGGAGAGAGACACAGGGTTAGGGAGGGAGAGAGACCACAGGGTTAGGGAGGGAGAGAGAACCACAGGGTTAGGGAGGGAGAGAGAACAGGGTTAGGGATGGAGAGAGACACACAGGGGTTTAGGGAGGGAGAGACACAGGGTTAGGGAGGGAGAGAGACACACACAGGGTTAGGGATGGAGAGAGACACACAGGGTTAGGAGGAGAGAGACACACAGGGTTAGGGAGGGAGAGAGACACACACAGGGTTAGGGAGGGAGAGAGACACACAGGGTTATGGAGGGAGAGAGACCAACAGGGGTTAGGGTAGGAGAGAGACACACACAGGGTTAGGGAGGGAGACCACACAGGGTTAGGGGGGAGAGAGACACCAGGGTTAGGGAGGGAGAGAGACACACACCGGGTTAGGAGGGAGAGAGAACACACAGGGTTAGGAGGGAGAGAACACACAGGTTAGGGGGGAGAGAGAGACACACACAGGGTTAGGGAGGGAGAGAGACACCACAGGGTTAGGGAGGGAGACACACACAGGTTGGGAGGGAGAGAGACACACACAGGGTTAGGGAGGGAGAGAGAGACACACGGGTTAGGGAGGGAGAGAGACACAACAGGGTTAGGGATGGAGAGAGACACCACAGGGTTAGGGAGGGAGAGACACACAAGGAGAGGAGAGAGACACACAGGGTTAGGGAGGAGAGAGAGACCACACAGGGTTAGGGAGGGAGAGAGACACCACAGGGTTAGGGAGGGAGAGAGACACACAGAGAGAGGAGAGAGACACACAGGGTTAGGGAGGGAAGAGACACACACAGGGTTAGGGAGGGAGAGAGACACACAGGGTTAGGGAGGGAGACACACACAGGGTTAGAGAGGGAGAGAGACACAGGGTTGGGAGGGAGAGAGACACACAGGGTTAGGGAGGGAGAGAGAGACACACAGGGTTAGGGAGGGAGAGAGACACACACCGGGTTAGAGGGGAGAAAAGACACACACAGGGTTAGGGAGGGAGAGAGACACCACAGGGTTAGGGAGGGAGAGAGACACACAGGGTTAGAGAGGAGAGAACACACAGGGTTGGAGGGAGAGAGACACACACAGGGTTAGGGAGGGAGAGAGACACAGGGTTAGGGAGGGAGAGAGACACACCCGGGTTAGGGAGGGAGAGAGACACACGGGTTGGGAGGGAGAGAGACACAGGGTTAGGGAGGGAGAGAGACGAAACCACACAGGGTTAGGGAGGGAGAGAGACACACAGGGTTAGGGAGGAAGAGACACACAGGGTTAGGAGGGAGAGAGAACACACAGGGTTAGGGAGGGGAGAGAGACACACAGGTGTTAGGGAGGGAGAGACACACACAGGGTTAGGGAGGAGAGAGCACACACAGGTTAGGGGAGGAGAGAGACAACAGGGTTAGGGAGGGAGAGAGACACACAGGGTTAGGGAGGGAGAGAGACACACACAGGGTTAGAGAGGGAGAGAGACACACAGGGTTAGGGAGGGAGAGAGACACAGGGTTAGGGAGGGAGAGAGACACACACAGGGTTAGGAGGGAGAGAGACACACAGGGTTAGGAGGGAGAGAACACAGGGTTAGGGAGGGAGAGAAAACACAGGGTTAGGAGGGAGAGAACCACAGGGTTATGGAGGGAGAGAGACCACACAGGGTTAGGGAGGGAGAGACACACACAGGGTTAGGGAGGGAGAAAACACACACAGGGTTAGGGAGGGGAGAGACACACACAGGGTAGGGAGGGAGAGAAGACACACAGGGTTAGGAGGGAGAGAAGAGACACACAGGGTTAGAGAGGAGAGAGACACAGGGTTAGGGAGGGAGAGAGACACACACGGGTTAGGGAGGGAGAGAGACACACAGGGTTAGAGAGGGAGAGAGACACAGGGTTAGGGAGGGAGAGAGACACACAGGGTTAGGGAGGGAGAGCACACAGGGTTAGAGAGGGAGAGAGACACACAGGGTTAGGGAGGGAGAGAGACACAGGTTTAGAGGAGGGAGAGAAAACACACAGGGTTAGGGAGGGAGAGAGACCACAGGGTTAGGGAGGGAGAGAGACACACAGGGTTAGGAGGGAGAGAGACACACAGGGTTAGGGAGGGAGAGAGAGACACACAGGGTTAGGAGGGAGAAGAGAAAACAAGGGTTAGGGAGGAGGAGACACACCAGGGTTAGGGGGGAGAGAGACACACACAGGTTAGGAGGAGAGACACACAGGGTTAGGGGAGGAGAGAACACACAGGGTTAGGGAGGGAGACACACAGGGTTAGGGAGGGAGGGAGACACACACAGGGTTAGGGAGGGAGAGAGAGACACACAGGGTTAGGGAGGAGAGAACACACAGGGTTAGGGAGGGAGAGAGACACACACAGGGTTAGGAGGGAGAGAACACACAGGGTTAGGGAGGGAGAGACACACACAGGGTTAGGAGGGAGAGAGACACACAGGGTTAGGAGGGAGAGAGAAAAACAGGGTTAGGGAGGGAGAGACACACAGGGTTAGGGAGGGAGAGACACACAGGTTAGGGGGAGAGAGACACACACAGGGTTTTGGGAGGGAGAGAGACCACGGGTTAGGGAGGGAGAGAGAGACACACAGGGTTAGAGGAGAGAGACACAGGTTTAGGGAGGAGAGAGACACACATGGTTAGGGAGGGAGAAGACACACAGGGTTAGGAGAGGAGAGAGACACGGGTAGGGAGGGAGAGACACACAGGTTAGGGAGGGAGAGAGCACACAGGGTTAGAGAGGAGAGAGACACAGGTGGGAGGGAAGAGCACAGGGTTAGAGGGAGAGAGACACACAGGGTTAGGGAGGGAGAGAAGAACAGGTTAGGAGGGGAGGAGACACAACAGGTTAGAAGGAGAGAACAACGGTTAGGGAGGAGAGAGACACCAGGTTAGGGGAGAGAGACAGGGTTGGAGGGAGAGACACAGGGTTAGGGGGGAGGAACCACTCAGGGTTAGGGAGGGAGACCACATGGTTAGGAGGGAGAGTGTAAGTACTTGTTTTGCCCTGAAAGTATAAAATTAGAATAGTGGCGGAACAATTTTCATTAGCAATGTTTTCAGATTATTCGCAGGTTAAAGTTACCTGGAACGCAATTGTTTCTTAAGGACAGTAAAAGAAAGATGTGTGTGTGTGTGTGTATGGTGTGTGGTGAATATGTTGTGGTGTGGTGTAAATGTTTGTGGTGTTGTGGTGTGTGGTGTGTGTTGTGGTGTGTAATATTTGTGTGGTGTTTGTGTTGTGGTTGTGTTATATGTGTTTTTGTTGTTGTGTGTTGTGTTTGTTGGTGGTGTTTGTGTGTGTGGTGTGTGTGTGTTGGTTGTGTTCTCTGTGTTGTGTGTGTGTGTGTTTGTTGTGTGTGTGTACTTTGTGTGTGGTTGTGTGTGTGGGGTTGTTGTTGTGTGATGTGGTAGTGGTGTGTGTGTGTTGTGTGGGGTGTGTCATCTGTTGGTTGGTGTTGTACCTGTGTAGCTTGCAGTTTACCCCTCTTCGGCACGTAGCAGACACCATAAAGGGAGTGAAAAGAGGCAGCAGGCTGTAAAGATGAGGTGAAGAGGGGGAAGGAGTATGGAGGGAGTAGTGGTGAGAGGGGGTAGACTGCCAGCAAAGGGGAGATCCCACCTGCAGAACTTCTTCTCACTCCTCGTTTCTCTGGTTCCCTGGAACACAAGAGAGAGAGAGCACAGAGAGAACAGAGAGAGAAAAGAGAGAGAGAACAGAGAGAACAAAAGAGAGAACAGAGAGAGAGATCAACAGAGAGAGAGAGAGAACAGAGAGCACAGAGCGAGAGAACAGAGAGAAAGAGAAGACAGACAGAGAGAGAAACAGAGAGCACAGAGCGAGAGACAGAGAGCACGAGCGAGAGAACAAGAAGAGAGACAGAGAGAGAGAGAAACGGAACAAAGAGAGAGAGAACAGAGAGAGAGGACGAGTATACAGCGAGATGAAAGACGAGACAAAACCTTACAGTTACAAGACCAAACTAAGGAGTTAAACCCTCCATCTATCAAGACAACTGAAGGGTTTAACCCGCCATCTATCAAGACAACTAAAGGTTGTTAACCTCCATCTATCAGGGGACAAACTCTAAAGGAGGTTAACCCCTCCATCTATCAAGACAATAAAGGTGTTTAACCCTCCATCTATCAAGACAAACTATAAGGAGGTAACCTCCATCTATCAAACAACCTGAAAGAGGTTAACCTCCATCTATCAAGACACTAATGAATGTAAACCCTCCATCTCCAAGACAACTAAAGATGTTAACCCTTCATCTATCAAGACAACTAAAGGTGTTAAACCCTCCATCTATCAAGGACACTAAAAGAGTTAGTTAACCACTCCATCTATCAAGACAACTAAAGGTGTTAAACCCTCCACATCTATCAAGACAACTAAAGTTGTTAACCCTCCAATCTATCAAGACAACTAAAGGGTGTTTTACCCTCCACTTTCAAGACAAATTAAAGTGTAACCCTCCATCTATCAAGACAACTAAAGGTGGTAACCCTACCATCTATCAAGACAACTAAAAGGTGTTAACCCTCCATCTATCAAGGAAAACTAACGTGTGAACCCTCCACATCTATCAAGAAAAACTAAAGGTGTTAACCCTCCCATTCTATCAGACAACTGGAGCCACTGGGTCAGCCACTCTTAATAGCACCTGGGCCCGCACAGGGTGAAAAACCTTCCAATAACCAGATGGCAAACAAGGCACAGGTGTACCACATAATGACTGACGAGGGTGTTGAATCATCAGTGCGCCCAAGGTGCTAACGTTCCAACCTCAAAAAAACATAGATGGAAAAAAACCAAAACCTGTAAACAGTGTGTACGATAACACAAGAGTGTAGACAGAGCTGGTCTATGCGCAGGGACGAGGACAGCAGCAGGGACTTTATACTGCAGGGTCCAGGAACATCTTATCTAGCACAGCTTCAACACTTCCAGCGGTCTCCTGTAAACACAGAGACACACACAGAGGAAGGAGAAAGAGAGACACCACACACAGGAGTCACGCACGACAGAGAGAGGGAGGAGAGAGAACACACACCGGGTTAGGGAGGAAGAGAGGACACCACAGGGTTAGGGGGGGAGAGAGGAGAGATAGGGGGGGAGAGAGAGACACAGGGGTTAGGGAGGGGAGAGACACACAGGGTTAGGGAGGGAGAGAGACACAACAGGGTTAGGGAGGGAGAGAGACACACAGGGTTAGGGAAGGGAGGGAGAGACACAGGGTAGGGAGGAGAGAGACACACAGGGTTAGGGAGGGAGGAGAGACCACAGGGTTAGGGAGGGAGAGAGACACCAGGGTTAGGGAGGGAGAGAGACACCACAGGGTTAGGGAGGGGGAGAGACACACAAAGGGTTAGGGAGGGAGATGAGGACACCACAGGGTTAGGGAAGGGAGAGAGAGACACACAGGGTTAGGGAGGGAGGAGAGACCACACAGGGTTAGGGGGGGGAAGAGAGGAACCACAGGGTAGGAAGGGAGAGAGACACACACCAGGGTTAGGAGAGGGAGAAGAGAGGACACAACAGGGTTAGGCGGGGAGAGCCACACAGGGTTGGGAGGAAAGAGACACACACAGGGTTAGAGCAGGGAGAGAGGACAACCACAGGTTAGCGAGGGAGAGAGGACACCAAAGGGTTAGGGGGGAACAGAGGAGAGACACAGGGTAGAGAGGGAGAGAGAACCTAGGGTTAGGGAGGAAGAGACACCACACAGGTTAGGGAGGGAGAGAGACACCACGGGTTAGGGAGAGGAAGAGACACCACACAGGGTTAGGGGAGGGAAGAGAGACCACACGGGGTTAGGGAGGGAGAGAGACACACAGGGTTGGGAGGGAGAGGCGACACCACAGGGTTAGGGAGGGAGGAGGAGAGAGAGACACACACAGGGTTAGGGAGGGAGAGAGGACACACAGGGTTAGGGAGGGAGAGACACACACAGGGTAGGGGGGGGAGAGAGACACACAGGGTGTAGGGGGGGAGAGAGAGAGAGGACACACAGGTTAGGGAGGGAGAGAGACCCACACAGGGTTAGGGGGGAGAGAGACACAACAGGGTAGGGGGGGAGAGAGAGAGAAGACACACCCAGGGGGTAGGGGGGAGAGAGAGGACACACAGGGTAGGGAGGGAGAGGAGGACCACACCAGGGTTAGGGAGGGAGAGAAGACAACAGGGTGTTAGGGAGGGAGAGAGACACACAGGGTAGGGACAGGGAGAGAGACACAACAGGGTTAGGGAGGGAGGAGAGGACACCCCGGGTTAGGGAGGGAGAGAGACACAGGGTTAGGGAGGGAGAGAGGACACAACCGGGTCGGGGAGGAGAGAGCACACAGGGTTTAGGGAAGGGAGAGGAGACACAGGGTTAGGGAGGGGAGAGAGACACACCACAGGGTAGGGAGGGAGAGAGACACAGGGTTAGGAGAGGGGAGAGAGACACACACAGGGTTAGAGAGGGGAGAGACACACACAGGGTTAGGGCGGGAAGGAGAGACACACACAAGGGTGGGGAGGGAGAGAGACACCACAGGGTTAGGGGAGGAGAGGAGACACAAGGTTAGGGAGGGAGAGAGAAACACAGGGTTTTAGGGAGGAGAGAGGACAGAGAGAGACACACACAGGGTTAGGAAGGGAAGAGGAGAGACACACAGGGTTAGGGAGGAGAGAGACACACAGGGTTAGGGAGGGAGAGGACACCACCGGGTTAGGGGAGGGAGAGGACAACACACAGGGAGGGAGGGAAGAGAGGGTAGAGAGACACACAGGGTTAGGGATGGGAGAGAGAAGACAACAGGGTTAGGGGAGGGAGAGAGACACACAGGGTTAGGGAGGGAGAGACCACAGTGGTAGGAGGAGAGAGCACACAGGTTAGGGAGGGGAGAGAGACACACAGGGTGAGGGAGGGAGAGAGAGAGACACACAGGGTTGGGAGGGAGAGAGACACACAGGGTTAGGAGGGAGAGAGGCACAGGGTTAGGGAGGGAGAGAGGGGAAGACACACAGGGTTATAGAAGAGGGAGAGAGACACACACAGGGTTAGATAGGGAGAGCGACACACAGGGTTAGGGAGGGAGAGAGAACACCACAGGGTTAGGGAGGAGAAGAGAGACACAGGGGTTAGGGAGGTAGAGAGAGACAGGGTTAGGGAGGGAGAGAGACACAGGGTTAGGGAGGGAGAGACACACAGGGTTGGGAGGGAGAGAGGACACACAGGGTTAGGGAGGGAGAGAGACACACGGGGTTAGGGAGGGAGAGAGACACACAGGGTTAGGTAGGGAGAGGACACACACAGGGTAGGGAGGGAGAGAGTACACACAGGGTTCGGGAGGGAGAGAGACACAGGTTAGGGAGGGAGAGAGACACACACAGGGTTAGGGGGGGGAGACACACAGGGTAGGGGGAGGGAGGAGAGACACACAGGGTTAGGGAGGGGGAGACACACAAAGGTTAGGGAGGGAGAGAGACACACAGGGTTAGGGAGGGAGAGAGGACACACACAGGGGTTAGGGAACGGGGAAGAGAGACACCACACAGGGTAGGGGAGGAGAGGAACACACAGGGTTAGGGAGGGAAAGACACCACCACGGTTAGGGAGGAGGGAGAGAGAACACCAGGGTAGGGAGGGATAGAAGAGACAAACAGGGTTAGGGAGGGAGAGAGAAGAGAGACACAAACAGGGTTAGGGCGGGAGGGAGAGACACCACAGGGTTAGGGAGGGGAGGAGAAACACAGAGAGGAGAGGGAGAGAGCACACAGGGTTAGGGAGGGAGAGGAGGAGAGACACACACAGGGTTAGGGAGGGGAGAGGACACAAACAGGGTTAGGGAGGGAGAGAGGACACACAGAGAGAGGAGAGAGGAGAGATGGAAGAGGACACACAGGGTTGGTGGGAGGGGAAGAGGAGAGAGGACCACACACAGGTTAGGGAGGGAGAAGAGACACACAGGTTAGGGATGGAGACACCAACAGGTTAGGAGAGGGAGTAGAAGAGACACAGGGTGGGGCGGGAGAGAGACACAAAGGGTTAGGGAGGGAGAGAGAGGAGCGAAGGACACACAGGTTAGGGAGGCGAGAGGACACAAACGGGTTAGAGGGGAGCGAGACACACAGCTGGTTAGGGAGGGGAGAGAGGGACACCACAGGGTTAGGGAGGGAGAGAGACACACAAAGGGGAGGAAGGGAGAAGAGAGAGGACAACAGGGTAGTGAGGAGAGAGACACCACAGGGTTAGGGAGGGAGGAAGAGAGACACAGGGTAGGGAGGGAGAGAGACACACACACAGGGTTAGGGAGGGAGAGAGACACACAGGGTTAGGGAGGAAGAGACAACACACAGGGGTTTTAGAGAGGGAGGAGACACACACCAGGTTAGGGAGGGAGAGGAGGACACACAGGTTAGGGAGGGAGGAGAGAGAAACCACACAGGGTTAGGGAGGGAGAGAGACACACAGGGTTAGGGAGGAGAGAGACACAGGTTAGGGGAGGGAAGAGAGACAACAGGGTTAGGGAGGGAGAGAGACCACACACAGGGTTAGAGAGGGAGAGAGACACACACAGGGTTAGGGAAGGAGAGAGACACAGGGTTAGGGGGTGCGAGAGACACACACAGGGTTAGGGAGGGGGGCGGAGAGGGACAACACAGGGTTAGGGAGGGAGAGACACCCACAAAGGTTAGGGAGGGAGAGAGGAGCACACACGGGTTAGGGAGGGAGAGAGACACACAGGGTTAGGAGGGAGAGAGGACACACAACAGGGTTAGGGAGGGAGGAGACACCACACGGGTTAGGGAGGGCGAACACACACCAGGGTTAGGGAGGGAGATAAGGACACACACAGGGTTAGGGAGGGAGAGGAGAGACACACAGGGTTGGAGGGAGAGAGGAGACACCACAGGGTTAGAGAGGGGAGGAAGAGACACAGGGGTTAGGAGGGGAGGAGAAGAGAGGGACACACACAGGGTTAGGGAGGGAGAGAGACACACAGGGTTAGAGAGGGAGAGAGACACAGGGTTAGGAGAGGAAGACACACAGGGTTTAGGGAGGGAGAGAGACACACAGGGTTAGAGAGGGAGAGAGAAGAGAGGACCACACAGGGTTAGGGAGGAGAGGGAGGACACAGGGTTAGCGAGGGAGACAGAACACAGGGTAGGGGAGGGAGAGGAAGAGACACGGGTTAGGGGGGAGAGAGAGACACACAGGGTTAGAGAGGGAGAGAGAGACACACAGGGTTAGGGAGGGAGAGAGCGACACACAGGGTTAGGGAGGGGGAGAAGACACAGGGGAGGGAGGGAGAGACACACAGGGTTAGGGGGGGAGAGAGACACACCAGGGTTAGGAGGGAGGAGACACACAGGGGTTAGGGAGGTGAGGAGACCACACAGGGTTAGGGAGGGAGCACACACGGGTTAGGGAGGGAGAGAGACACACACAGGGTTGGGAGGGAGAGAGAGACACACAGGGGTTAGGGAGGGGAGAGAGACACACACAGGTTAGGGAGGGAAGAGAGAGAGGACACCACACAGGGTTAGGGAGGGAAGAGGGACACACACAGGGGGTGGTTAGGGGGAGGGAGAGGACACAAACAGGGTTAGGGGAGGGAGAGGAAGCACACAGGGTTAGGGAGGGAGAGAGGACACACACAGGGGTAGGGAGGGAGAGACACACACAGGGTTCGGGGGGAGAGAGGACACACAAGGGGTAGGGAGGAGAGAGACCACAACAGGGTTAGGGAGGGAGAGAAGGAGGAAACACCGGGTTAGGGAGGGAGAGGGGATGAGGGAGACACAGGGTTAGAGAGGGAGAGAGGAGAGGGACACAGGGTTAGGGAGGGAGAGAGACACACACAGGGTTAGGGAGGAGGAGAGGAGACACACGGGTTAGAGAGGGAGAGAGACACAGGGTTAGGGGAGGGCGGGGAGAGAGACACACAGGGTTAGGGAGGGAGAGAGGACACACAGGGTTAGAGAGGGAGAGAGACCACAGGGTTAGGGCGGGGGAGAGAGGGAGAGAGCACAGGGTAGAGAGGGCAGAGAGGATCACACAGGGTTAGGGACGGGGAGAGAGAGACACGGGTGGTAGGGAGGGAGAGAAGAGGAGAGACACACAGGGTTAGAGAGGGAGAGAGACACAACAGGGTTAGGGAGGGAGAGAGAGACACACAGGTTCAGGGAGGGAGAGGAGAGGGAGAGAGGACAAAGAGACACAGGTTAGGGAGGGAGGAGAAGAGACACAACAGGGTTAGGGGGGGGAGAGGACACACACAGGGTTAGGGAGGGAGAGACACACACAGGTTAGGGAGGGAGAGTGTAAGTACTTGTTTATGCACTGAAACAGTATTATAAATATTAGATATTAGTGCAGGAACAATCTTTTCATTCACAATGTTTTTCAGATTATTTCTGCAGGTTTAAAGTTATTCCTGGGAAACGCAATTGTTTCTTAAGGACATTGTAAAAAGAAAGAATTGTGTGTGTGTGTGTGTATGGTGGGGGTGGGGGGGAATATGGGTGGTGGGTGGGTAGGAAGATCGGGGGGGGGGGGGTGGTGGGGGGGGTGGGGTCGTGTTGGGGGGGAAAGGTGTGGGGTATGGGTGGGTTGTGGTGGGGGGTGTAATATGTGTGGGGTGTGTGGGGGGTGGGATGGGGGTGTGGAGAGGGGTGTGGCTTGGTGGTGCTTGTGTGGTGTTGTGGGTGTGTGGTGTGTGTGTACTATTGTGTGTGGTGTGGGTGGTGTGGTGTTTTGTGTGTGTATGGTGGGGTGTGTGTGTGTTGAGTGTGTGTGTGGGTGTGTGCTCGGTCGTGAAGGTGTGGTGTGTGTGGGTGTGTGTGTTAATATGTGTGTGTGTGGTGTGTAACATGTGTAAGTGTGCAGTGTACCATCTTCAGGCACTGTAGCAGCACACTAAAGGCAAGTGAGTAGGGCAGGCAGGCTGTACGGATGGAGGTGGAAGAGGAGGAAGGAGGGATGGAGGGAGTAGTGGTGGAGGAGGGGGTAGGACTGCCAGCAGGGGGAGATCCTGAGCCTGCAGACTTCTTCTCACTCCCTCGTTTCTCTGGTTCCCTGGAAAACCACAGGAGAGAGAGAGAGCACAGAGAAGAGAGAACAGAGCAGAGAGAGAGAGAAAAAGGAGAGAAAAGAGAGAGATAAAGAGAGGAGAGGAGATAAGACAGAGCGAGAGAGAGGGAGAACAGAGAGGGAGAGAACAGAGCAGAGAGCCACAGAGAGAGAGAACAGAGAGAGAAAGAGAGAGGAGGGAACAGACAGAGAGAGAGAGAACCGAGGAGCAAACAGAGCGAGAGAAAAACAGAGAGCACAGAGCGAGGGGAGGAGGGGAGAAAAACAAGGGAGATGAGAAGATGGAGATGAGAAAATAGGAGAGGAGAAGCATTTTACTCATCGAGTATAAAGAGAGACCTGTTTCCGCCCCTTCTGCCTCCTCCTTGAGAGCGCGGGGATGATCTGGAGCATGATTCGATTCTGCCCTTCCTCTGCGTGTCTAGTTCGACCGTTCTTGACCGAGAACAGAGGGAGAAGGTGAGAGCTGAGGCAGGAGAGGAGTGAGAGAGACCAGAGGACGAGAGCGAAGGAGGGGGGGAGGGAGAGGACCGGGAGAGGAGAGCGAGGAGAGAACCCAGCGACGAGAGAGCGGAAACACGAAGTTAAGTAGATAGTCTTCCTGGAGTCCGACACAGAACTGAAAAGGCGTTACAGACAAAAAAATTTACATTGACAGACAGTGGTAGACATTACAAACATTTAACAATTAGACATTACAGACAGTTAAAATACCTGAACGGTAACACGTTTAACATTCTGTAGCAGCCATTTATCATGTTTTGTGTTCAATTCATTTAATCCCTATCTCTCCCTATGCTTACCTGGTGTGCACCTGATTGGGTGGGAACTAGTGTGCCTGGGCTCAGCGTCAATTTTCAACCGCATCGTACCTTTTTGTTTGTGACAAACATTATTGAAAAGAAGGGAAATGAATGGACTAAACATACTGTTGGATTCCTCTCTTGTATTGTATCGAGTGTTGGAATGATCCCCAGGTCACAAGTAAGGGGCATCAACAACTGTTTTGGTATTTGCCACTACACATTCACTAGGCACTTTATGGTATCGGTATCTGTCCAGTTAGATGTTCTTTTAATCTTTTCTTGAAGGTGAATTTCCTGCTTGCCTGGGAAATGTGAGTTTAGAGTGGACAGAGTGTGAGAGGGTGTGAGCGTGTACCCACCCCATGTCACAGTGGCAGTAGGGGCTGAACCTCAACACGCCGTCTTTACTGAGGAACCCCAGACGATGGAGAGAGTCAGTTCTCATCATCAGGAGGAAGTCAAAGACCTGAGAGAGAGAGAGAGAGAGAAGATAAGAGCAAAGAGGACATACTAAGAGAATCACAGAGAAAAGAGGAAAGAGGCGCGTGGCTTTATTGAGAGAGAGAGAGACGCCGGTCGAGATGAGAGAGAGAGAGAGGGAGATGAGAGGAGACGAGAGAGAGATGGAAGAGGAGCAGATTTCCCCCTCTCTTTTCTTCTTGAGGCTGAGAGGAGATGGGTGATGAGAGGATGGGAGGAAGGAGGAGTGAGTGGAGAGATGAGAGACGACTGAGGAGAGAGAGGAGTGCTGTTTGATGTTTCTGGAGAAGAAGAGAGAGACGAAGACGAGCTTTGAGTACGGAGATGAGACGAGAGGATGAGAAGAGAGAGATGAGGAGAGGTGAGAGACGAGGGAGGAAGTAGAAATGAGTCTCTGGAGATGAGAGGATTTATGGTGAGAGAGAGAGAGATGTTAGGAGATTGAAGAGAGATGAGGAGTCCTCTGGACTGAGAGAGGAGAAGAGACTTCGCTTTTTGAGGAAGAGAGATCGAGGAATATGAAGATTCAGCCTAGGCTCCTACTGAAGATTGAGAGAGGATGAGAGATAGAGAGGAAGGGTGTGAGGACGAGAGAGAGTTACGTGAAGAGGAGAGAGGAGAGAGTGTTGAAGAGAGGGGGAAGAGACGATTTGGTGGTGAGGTGAGATGATGAGCTTGAGAGAGGTTTTGGATTGAGAGACGGGTTTAGTGATGACCGGAGATAGATGACATCGGAGAGAGGGGACGAGACCGCATATGAGAGTGGATAGAGAGAGTATCGAGATCAGAAGAGAGATCGAGACCGATGACATGAGCGAAGATGATGAGAGAGACTTGAGAGGAGACAGAGAGATGGGGAGGATTACTTTGAGGAGGAGTAAGCGTATTGAGTCTGCAGACAGAGATCTGAGACTGAGATGCGAGGAGCAATAGAGAGGAGATAAAGAGAGAGTTTTATGTGAGACTTGTGAGCTTGCAGAGAAGCTGGTATGACGAATGGACCGTTTTATCCTCACACTATTTTTTGCACCTTTACGACCGGCACTGAGTCTGAGGCGAATGCGTGAGATGTGAGGAGGAAGACAGACGGAGGAGAGGAGAAGAGGAGTCTGAAAGGGAGGAAGAGGCCCATTTATCTTCACGGTTTTGCCGTTAGGAAGGTTATTCCGTGCAGAGAGGATCATGAGACTGGGATCTGTGATCGTCAGGGACTGAGAACTTATTGAGTGGGCGACCGTGGACTGAGAGCCAGCGAGAGGATGATGAGAGAGCGATATTTCCTTTATTGAATTAGAGAGAGGAGAGCGAGACGAGAGTAGAGAGAGAGTAAGAATTTTGAGACCGAGATGGAGAGAAAGAAGCGATATATGATTCGGATTAAAGGAGGACTACTAAGTAGGGAAATAAGAGGCAACGATATGTAGGAAGAGTGGCAGGGGAGAGTGACGAAGGCGAGGATGGCAGATTCAGAAAATGAAGAATGAATAATCAGATGTAGATGAGGTGCGTAACGAGCGCGTGAGGAGCAAGTATAGGACCAAGACGGAGAGTAGTGCGTTGCAGATGAGCTGTGGGAGAGTAGGCGCCCAGAGAGGAAGAGAGAGCAAATAAGATTTGAGTGGAGATTAGAACTGGAATTAGTTGGTTGATGTGCGAGAGAGGGAACATATGATGGAGATTCCGGACTTCTGAGAAGAGAGGAGAGGAATGGGTGGAGCCCAGCAAGAGTGTAGGTAGAGCGGGAGCTTGACGGTTTTTGATAGTCGAGGCGAGCTACATCTTCCTGAGTCCGTTTCGCCAGGCGCTTCGCATGGCCACAGTGTGGGGAGGGAGTGTCGTCAGGAGAGTGGTCGTCCGGAGTGGAATGGAGTTGAGGTCGTAAATGTCAATGAAGGATGTCGAGACTGTTGAGTGCATGAGACGATTTGAGTTTGAGAAGAGTCGGACCAGAGAGATGTTTCCGACTTGACGGACTTAGTCGTGATAAGCGTTCTGAGTTGTCGTTGTTGATCTGTGAGTTGAGGATGACGGGTTCGGGTTATCAGCAGATTGAGAACACGTAGGAGAGTGATGAGGAGTCGTCGGGACGGGGGATAGCGAGTCGTGGAAGAGGTGATGATGGATGAGTTCGTTTCTGCTCTAGGAGGGGCTGTGACGGCTCGGGATGTGTAGGAGGTCGAGGAGTTGGAATGCAGTTCGTGAGTGAGAACGAGAGAGAGACGCTTTTAAGTTGGGCCGAGAGGATCTGATAGAGGAGAGAGAGGAGAGAAAAGGGGGAGGGAAGAGAAGAAAGAGACGAGGAGGGAGAGAGTAGGAGAGCATGGAAAGAAGACCTGAGAGAGACGGTAGAGGAGGTGAGAGGACGAGAGGAGAGAGAAAGAGAGGACGAGGGAGAGATGAGAGAGAGAGTGGAGAGGAGAGGAGGGAGAGAAAAGAGGAGAGGGGAGAGAGAGGAGAGAGAGAGAGGAAGGGGAGAGAGAGGAGAGAGAGACAGGGACGAGAGAGACCAGAGGAGAGGAGAGATGAGAGGAGGACAGAAGAGAGAGAGAGAGAGAAAGAGGAGAGAGAGAGAGAGGAGAGAGAAGGGGAAAGAGGAGTGAGAGGACAGAGGAGATGAGAGAGGGGAGAGAGAGAAAAAACAGACAAAAGGGGAGGAACAGGTAAATCTGCTGTCTGTGTCACTTTGAACACATCTACTCATCCCTTTCCTTGTTTGAGCGGTTTTCTGATTGGCACCAATGAAAAGGCCTTTTGAAACTTCTTGATAAACAAAGGAAGAACGAATGAAAGGAAAAAAATGAACATTTCCTAGAGTTTCCAAATGCAAACCTGCAGGTGATAGTATGAAAAATGTATGCACTCAAAAAAAATAAGAGCGTCTGCTAAATGGACTAAAAGTCAAAGGTAATGGGGTCCTACCGTGACGCAAACAGAGCATTAACATTTGAACCTATGACCTTCGTGGTGACCCTGTATATGCTTACTGTAGGCGTATGCTGCAGGCCACAGCGGAGGAGTATTGTTCTTGTAGGCAGGCTGAAGGTGTCCGTATCAGCAGGCTCGTACACTCGACTAGCGTGGCTGGCTGGCAGGCTGCTACAGCTTACTCTGCAATCGTTGGAGACAAACAACAGAGGCACAGACATTATCAATTCACCGATTCGATCAAGCAATGAAGTAAACCACTGCTTGTAAAATGTAACACTGAATTGACCGTTGGGTGTGTGGTGTCCAAGTGGTGTGGTGTGTCCCAGTGTGTGTGTGGTCCCAGGGTGTTTGTGTCCCAGTGTGTGGGTGTGTCCCGTGTATGTGTACCAGGGTGCTGTGTGTGTCTCAGTGTGTGTGTGTTGTGTGTCCCAGTGTGTGTGGAGTGTGTGTGGGTCCAAGTGTTGTTTGTGTGTGTCCCAGTGTGTGTGTGTGGTGTCCAGTGTTGGGTGTGTGTGTTTGTCCGCTTGTGCTGGTGTGTGGGTGTGTGTGTACCAGTAGTGTGTGTGTGTGGTGTCCCAGTGTGTTGGGGTGTGTGTGTCAGTGTGTGTTTGTGTGTCCCCGGGTGATGTGTGTCCCAGTGTGTGTGTGTGTCCCAGTGTGTGTGTGTTTTGGGTACCAGTGTGTGTGTGTTGTACCCCAGTGTGTGTTGTGGTCACGCGTGAGTGTGTTCCCAGGGGTGTGTGTGTCCCAGTTGTGTGTGTGGCTCATAGTGTGTGTGTGTTCTCAGTGTTTGTGTGTCCCAGTGATGGTGTGTGTGTCCAGTGTGTGTGTAGTGTCCAGTGTTTGTGGGTGTGTCCCAGTGTGTGTGTGTTGTGTGTGTGTGTGTTGTGTCCCAGTGTGGTGTGTGTGTGTGTGTCCCCAGGTGTGTGTGTGTGTTCCCATGTGTGTGTGTGGTGTGTGTCCCAGTGTGTGTATGTGTGTGTGGTCCACAGTGGTGGGGTGTTGTGTGGTGTCCCAGTGTGTGGTGGTGTGTGTGTGTGTCAGGGTGTGTGTGGTCCCAGTGTGTGTGTGTGTTTGTCCCAGTGTGTGTGGTGTGTCCCAGGTGTGTGTTGTCCCAAGTGTGTGTTCGGTGTCCCAGTGTGTGTGTGAAAAAGAGGGGGGGGGTGTGGGGGTGTGGGTGTTTGTGGGTGTGTGTGTGGGTAGGGGTACCAGTGTGTGGGTGCTTTGTGTCCCAGTGGTGGTGGTGTGCGCCCAGTGTGTGGGTCCCAGTGTGTGTGTGTGGGCGTCCCAGTTTGTGTGCCCAGTGGGGTGTGTTGTGCGTTCCCAGTGTGTGTGTCCCAGTGGTGTGTGTGTGCGTCCCAGTGTGATGTGTGTGTGTGGCCGTGTGTGGTCCCAGGTGTGTGATGTTGTGTGTGTCCCAGTGTGTTGTGATAACCTGTAGAGTATCTCCAGGAAACCCCAGTATAGCCGGTCCTGACGTCCTCCATTGGGGGATTCTGCCGTGGAGTCTCTTCCGACACCTCCAGGGGCCATGGGCACGCAGCGAACGATGGCCACCTACACCAAGAGAGAGGAGAAAAAAAACACAAAACTTTAATTAATAACACAAATACATGCCAGCTAATCAAATCACATTAATTTAGAAAAGAGCCCTTGTTACATCAGCCGATGTCACCAAAGTGCTTACAAAACCTTTTTAAACCGCAAGCAATGCGAAGTAGAAGCAGGGATCTGTCTAGAGAAACACACACGCACCTAGAGAGAGAGAGGGAAGAGAGGAGAGAGAGAGAGAGATAGGAGAAGAGAGAGAGAACGAGAGAGAGAGAAAGGAGAGGAGAGAGGGAACACACCCAACTAGAGAGAGAGAGAAAAACACACACTATAGAGAGGAGAACACACACTCTAGAGAGAGGAAACACACATCTAGGAGAGACGAGAGGAGAGAGAGAACACACCTAGAGAGAGACGAACACCACAGAGAAGAGAGAACCAATAAAGAGAGAGAGAGAAACACACACTCTAGAGAGAGAGAGAGAGGGAGAAACCACACCACTCTAGAGAGAGAGAGAGAACACACTCTAGAGAAGAGAGAGAACACACACTTAGAGGAGAGAGAGGAACACACCATAGAGAGGAGAGAGAACACCAACACTAGAGAGAGAGGAGAACACAAATAGAGAGGAGAGAGAGAAAACCACTAGAGAGAGAGAGAAAAACACTAGAGAGAGAGAGAGAAACACCACACTAGAGCGAAACGAGAGGAAACACACACTAGAGAGAGAGAACACACACTCTAGAGGAGAGCGGCGAGAAACTACTCTAGAGAGAGAGAGAACACCACACTAGAGAGAGAGGGAGGAACACACACTAGAGAGAGAGAACACACACTAGAGAGGAGAGAGAGAAACACACACTAGAGGGAGAGAGAGAACACACACTAGAGAGGAGGAGAGGAACACAACTAGAGAGAAGAGAGGAGAGGAAACACACACTAGAGAGAGAGAGAACACACACTAGAGCGAAGAGAACACACACTAGAGAGAGAGAGAACAAAATAGAAGAGAGAGAACACCCCACACTAGAGAGAGAGAGAACAACCACTAGAGAAGGAGGGAACCACACTCAGAGAGAGAGGAACAACACCACTACTAGAGAGAGAGAGACACACTCTAGAGAGAGAGGCGAAGAGAAACACACTCTAGAGAGAGAGAGAAACACACTCTAGAGAGGAGACGAGAAACCAATCTAGAGACGAGAAGAGAGAGAACCACACATCTAGAGAGAGAGAGGACACACACTCTAGAAGAGAGAGAGAAAGAGGAGAGGAGAACACCACTCTAGAGAGAGAAGAACAAACTATAGAGAGAGAGGAGAACACACTCAGAGAGGGAGAGAAACACACTCTAGAGAGAGAGAAACACACACTAGAGCGAGGAGAGAACAACCACACTCTAGAGAGAGAGAGAACACACACTCTAGGAGAGAAAGAGAACACACTCGAGAGAGAGAGAGAACACACTCTAGAGAGGAGAGAGAGGAGAAACACACACTCTAGAGAGGAGAGAGAGAAACACACTAGAGAGAGAGAGAAACACCACACTAGAGAGAGAAGAGAACACACACTCTAGAGAGAGAGAGAACACACACCTAGAGAGAGAGGAGAACACACTCTAGAGAGAGAGAGAAAAAACACACTCTAGAGAGAGAGAGAGAGGGAGAACACACACTCATCAGAGGGAGAGGGAGAGAGACACACACTAGAGAGAGGAAAACAACACTGTTTTTAAGCAGAGGAGAGAGAACACACACTAGAGAGAGAGAGAGAACACCCACTCTAGAGAGAGAGAGGGAGAAACACACTCTAGGAGAGAGAGAGAACACACACTCTAGAGAGAGAGATGAGAGAGAACACACAATAGAGAGAAGGCACACACTCTAGAGAGCGAGAGACCACACAGAGAAGGAGAGAGAAACACTCTAGAGAGGAGAGGAGGAGAACACACTCTAGAGAGAGAGAGAGAGAAACACACACTCAGAGGAGAGGGAGAGAAACACCACTCTAGAGAGAGGACACACACTCTAGAGAGAGAGAGCCACACTTTAGAGCAGAGAGGAACACCCACACGTCCTAGAGAGAGAAACACACTTAGAGAGAGAGAGAACACACCTCTAGAGAGAGACGAGAGAAACACAATCTAGAGAGAGAGAGCAACACCCACTCAGAGAGAGAGAGAGAGAACACACTCTAAGAGAGAGAGAGAGGAAACACACTAGAGAGAGAGAGAGAGAAAACACACTATAGAGAGAGAGCGAACACACATCTAGAGAGAGGGAACACACACTGAGAGAGAGAGAACACACACTCTAGAGAGGGAAAACACACTCTAGAGATTTTTTTTTTGTGGAGAGAGAGAAGAGAGAACACACTCTAGAGAGAGGAGAACACAACCACTAGAGAGAGCGAGAAGGAAAACACACATAGAGAGAGAGAGAACACACACTAGAGAGAGAGGGAGAACACACAACCTAGAGAGAGGAGAGAAACACCACACCTCAGAGAGCGAGAGAACACACTCTAGATGAGGAGAGAGAACACACTCTAGAGAGAGAGAGGGAGAAACACACACTCTAGAGAGGAGAGAACACCACCTCTAGAGAGAGAGAGGAGGGAGAGAGAACACACCACTCTAGAAGAGAGAGAGAGGAACACACACTTAGAGAGAGAGGTAGAGAGGACGAGAACACACACATAGAGAGAGAGAGGAAACACACTTAGAGAGAGAGAGGGGGAACACAACACTCTGAGAGAGGGAACACACACTCTAGAGAGAGAGAGAACCACCTCTAGAGAGAGAAAGAGAACCACACTAGAGAGAGAGAGAGAACACACACTCTAGAGAGAGAGAGAGAACACCACTCTAGAGAGGAGAGAACACACTTAGAAGAGAGAGAGAACCACACACTAGAGAGAGGAGAGAGAGAACACACTCTAGAGAAGAGGGAACACACTCTAGAGAGAGAGAGAGAACACAACACTCTAGAGAGAGAGAACACACACTCTAGAGAGTAGAGAGATGAACCACACACTCTAGAGAGAGAGAGAAACACACCTCTAGAGAGCGAGAGAACACACAATCTAGAGAGAGAACACACACTTCACAAGCCCAAACCACCCACGAGCAAACTTCTTTCTTACCTTTTAAAAAGGGGCAACTGCAGTTGGACATCCTTTTTAGGACATATAAATTGATATGTACCAAGTGAATCTTGAAGAATATCACTTTAACTGCTCGCTCTGATATTCTGAATGTAATGTCTTACTGATGGATGCTGGATGGTCAATCCTTGCATCCATACCGCTGTCTATGAATTTGAGGCACCCCCGGTTTAACATTTCTCCAGCCCCATCCCTCAGCTTTCAACTCTTTAAAAAAGTGGCGGGTGGTATCCACTTTGCTATTGTTTCAAATGCTGAGTGGTCCTTTAACTTTAAACCACACACAGAGAGAGATAAAAGAATACAATCTTTAATAACACACTCTCTCTACCCTCCAGTAGGATGGTTGAAGTGGTGATGTGGAACCAGGTGGTGGTGTGGGGGTGTGTGGTGTGTGTCCATACCTCTCTATGATGTCCAGTAGGATGGTGAAAGTGTGTGGTGGGACCAGGTGTGTGTTGTGTGGTTCCATTACCCTATCTATGATGTCAGTAGGATGGTGATGAAGTGGTGGGTGGGACCAGTGTGTGTGTGTGTGTGTCCCTACCTCTATATGATGTCCAGTTAGGATGGGGATGAAAGTGTGTGGGAAAACCAGTGTGTGTGTGTGTGTGTGTGTGTGTGTGTGTGTATTCCCTACCCTCGCTATGAATGTCCAGTTAGGCTGGTTGAAGGTGAAGTAGGATGGTGAAGTGGTTTGTGTCGTGTGTGTGTGTATTCTCCTTACCTTCTATGATGTCAGTAGGATGGTGATGAAGTGGTTGTGGTGTGTGTGCGTGGGTGTGGGGTGTGTTGTGTGTGTGTGTGTGTCCTTACCCTCTCTATGATGTCCAGTAGGATGGTGAAAGTGTGTGTGGACCAGTTTGTGTGTGTGTGTGTGTGTGTGTGTGTATCTCCATCTTACCCTCTCTATGATGTCAGTAGGATGGTGAGTGGTGAGGTGGAACCAGCGTCTTGTGTTGTGTGTGTGTGTGTGTGTGTGTCTCCTACCCTCTCTATGATGTCCAGTAGGATGGTGAAAGGTGGGTCGTGGGAACCAGTTGTGTGTGGTGTGTGGTGGTGTGTGTGTGTGTGTGTGTTTGTTGTGTGTTCCTTACTCTCTATGATTGTCCAGTAGGAGGTGAAGTGGTGTGTGGAAAAACCCAGTGTGTGTGGTGTGTGTGTGTGTGTGTGTGTGTGTGTGTGTGTGTGTGTGGGTCTCCTTACCCCTCTATGATGTCCCAGTAGGATGGTGAAAGTGGTGTGTGGGTTGTGTGTGTGGTGTCTCTTACCCCTCTCTATGAGGTCCAGTAGGATGTGAAGTGGTGTGTGTTACAGCTCTCAAGCCAGGTCACCGTAGCGGGTAGCCTGTCTCCTCACAGCCAGGTCTCTGTCTCGCTATCCCACTGAGGTTGGAGGAAAACCCCACCACAGCTAGCAATCATCCTGGACAGGGGAAGGACATGACACGAATGAACATGCAGAGAGAGATGGAGAGAACGATTTGAGAGGGGTAGTGAAACGAGAAAATAATTCAAATAGTTTTATGTTGCAGTGAGTGAGTGAGTGAGTGAGTGAGGAGAGAGTGAGTGAGTGAGTGAAGAGTGAGTGATGAGGGAGTGAAGAGTGAGTGAATGAGGTGAGTGAAGTGAGTGAGTGAGAAGGAGGTGAGAGTGAGTGAATGAGTGAGTGAGTGGTATGAAGGTGAGTGGTGAGTACCATCGTAGAGCTGGCGGTGGTGCTGAGGACAAGGAGGATGTGAAGCACTTGATCCTGCAAAATCACACTACGACTCTCATTCCTGAGAGAAACGGGAGAGAGAGAGGAGAGGATAGAGAGAGCGAGAAGGAGAGAGAGAGAGAGGGGAGAGAGAGGAGAGAGAAGAGAGGAAGAAATTTAAATGGAATGGAGAGAGAGATGAGGATAGAAAGAGAGAGAGAGACGGAGGGGAGAAATGAATGAGAGAGAGAGAGAGAGAGAGAGAGAGGTGAAGGAGAGAGGAGAGAATAGAGAGGAGAGAGGGAGAGAGGAAGCAGTTAACACTCAAACTTCTTTTCCTAAAGTACTGTTCATAAGGACAGGAATGGGACACAACACTCAACGGGGCCACTAAATAACAACTTCTGTTTGGTTTTTGTTTCCATGGGAGAACTGCCTGTTTTTTGGTATCAGGGTGACCCTTATTAGCCCACATACAGTTACCTGAAGAAAACTTCTCCAATAAGGAGGTTTGTACGGCTCTGTGATCCACCCGTCTTAGCTGGCTGGATGGACTCGGGGCCCGGTACGATACAGAGTCAGCACCGACGAATCCTGATGACATCACAAAACAACAACTCTTTAGAAGGAACAATGGAAGACAAAGTGAATGAAAGACAGCGGCCACAAAAAGACTGTCGACCGGGGGGGGGGGGGGAGGGGAGAGAGAGAGAGAAGGAAGAGAAGGAAAGGACCATAGAGGAAAAGCAAAGAAGAGGAAGAATATGAGGATGGAGGAAAGGAAAGGAGGAAGAAGAGGAAAGAATTAGGAAGAAGATGAGGAGGGGAAGGAAAGGAGGAAGAAAGAGAAGAATAGGAGGGAGGCGGAAAGGAAGAGTGAAGAAGAGGCAAGAAAAAGGAGAAGGAGCGAAAGGAAAAGGAGGGAAGAAGAGGAAGAATATGAGGAGGGAGGCAAGGAAAGGAGGAAGAAGAGGAGAATATTGAGGAGGAGGAAAGGAAAGGAGGAGAGAGAAGAAAAAATGAGGAGGAGGAAAAGAAAGGAGGAAGAAGAGGAGAAGAACGAATATGAGGGAGGGAGGAAAGGACGAGGAAGAATGAGGAAACAATATGAGGAGGAGGAAAATGATTGAAAGGAGGAAGAAGAGGAAGAATATGAGGAGGAGGAAATGAAGGAAAGGAAGGACAGGCGGAAGAAGAGGAAGAGTGACTTACAGGTCTTTTGTCAGCACACTTCTCACCCGACTGAAGAATTGTAGATGATCCAGGAAAGCCTTTGATTCATAGAGCTCCTCCACGTAGTCAAGCCATTCATACACTATGGACTTCCGTTCTGCCACGCAGATTATCGACTGGAGAGAGACGAAAGTACATTCATTTTCTGTCTGGTGTGGTGAATGCCTGTGTTCGTATCTGTGTGTTGGTGTGGTCTGTATCTGGTGGGGGCCTGGCTGTGTTCTGTATCTGTGGGGTGTTGCCTGCCTGGTGTTCTGTATATGTGTATATGTGTGTGTGTGGGAGAGGGGGGGGGGGGGGGGGGGGGAGGGAGAGGGGTGGGGGGGGTGGAGGGCGATGTAGATGGGGGGGTGTGTGGGTGGGGGGAGGGGCTGGGGAGAGGCGGTGTTGGGGGGGGGGGGGATGGATGAGGGGGTGGGTGTGGTGGGGGGGATGGGGGGCTGTCTTGGCGTGGGGGGGTGTGGGGGGAGGGATCGGGGGGTGTGGGGGGAGGTGGGGGAGAGTGTGGGTGGGTGAGAGTGGGTGTGTGGGTGGTGTGGCTGTGTTATGGAGAGGTGTGTAGGGGTTATGTATCGGTGTGTTATGTGTGGGTGGGTGTGGGTTGGGGTGTGTGTAGGATGAGGTGTGTGTGTGGGTGGAGTGTGGGTGGTGTGGTGTGTGTGGGTGTGTGTGGGGGTTGGTGTGTGTGTTCTGTATCTGTGTGTCTGTGTCTGTATCGGTGTGTCTGTGTGTGTGTTGTGTGTGGTGTAGTGTATGTGTGTGTGTGTGTGTGTGTGTGTGTGTGTTTGTGTGTGTGTTGTACCTGAATATGCTGCAGTAATCTCTCTATGATTAGCCAGCAGTATGGTCCCATGGACCACCGGAGTTCCTTGGCCATACTCTTTATCAGTTCTGGGGATGGAGAGAACGATTCTAATATGGACACCATCTCGTTGGCACCAACCCAAATCGGCCGGGGGTTAAAAAAGGTCAGATTGGTTAGAGGTCATAGATAAAAATCCTCTACGAAACTTTAAATCCTGAATCTTTCCTCAACAATAAACATCCATCATCTATCTCTCTACTCTATCTCTCCACCTAATTAATAAAATACTTCATAAATATAGAATGATGGGAGGACCAGGGTAGGGGTGTTTTTTAGGGCGGGGGAAGACGGTGCGCCCCCATAGAGCCCATCCCTACGAAAGAACACGGTCTCTCAGCAACGGAGAATCCTCCATTATACGCCCTGACAGAGAGAGAGGAGAGTTAGACACACACACGGTCAGTGGCTTCCTCAACTACAGAGCCGTCGTAGAAAACCGATTTAAAACAATAGAGGGGGGAGGAAGGCACACACAACACACACAACACACACACACACACACACACAACACACACACACACACACACACACACACACAAACACACACACACACACACACACACACACACACACACACACACACACAAACACCACAACACACACACACCACACACACACACCACACAAACCACACACCCACAACACACACACACACCACACACACCACAAACACAGAGGGTTTGTTACTCTCCTCATGATACGGCACATGGTGTATATGGCACTATGGCCCAGATGGGTTGTTCCCCAACACCTTCCTAATCAAACTGGAGAGAAGGAGAGGAGAGGGAGGAGAGGAGAGGAGGAGGAGAGGAGAGGAGAGGAGAGGAGAGGAGAGGAGAGGAGAGGAGAGGGAGAGGAGAGGAAGAGGAGAGGAGAGGAGTGAGTAATATTATTATTTTGTATCATTTCAAATGTTTAGAAGTATTATATTATTATTAACGTTTAGCCCAGATTATTAACATGATAGTAAAAATTAGGGGACAACATCCCTTACACCACTGCACACACCATTGTTCCACCTTCCAGCAGGGATCACAAGAAACTCCTGACGTTAACGGTGTGCGACAGAGAGTGATGATTTGACGACAGTGAGGGCGTCAGAGGCGTCAGAGGGGAGCAGTAGTTATAACAACACCACCGCATCCAAAAACCTGTTAGGAAGCCACCTGGACACAACAGGAGGACCAGACACACAGAGGAACACACACACAGAGAGGACAGGACACCACAAGAGGACGACACACACGAGGAACAGACAACAACAGAGAGGACAGACCACACAGAGAGGACAGACACACAGAGAGGACAGAACACACGAGAGGACAGGACACACAGAGGACAGACCCACAGAGAGGACAGACACACACAGAGGACGACACACAGAGGGACAGACAACAGAGAGGACAGACACAGGGAGAGGCAACCACAGAGAGGACAGACACACAGAGAGGACAGACACACAGAGAGGGGAAAGACACCCACAGATGGGAGGACAGACACAGAGCGGACGTTGAAACCAGAGAGGACAGACACACAGAGAGGACAGCCACGAGAGGACAGACACAGGAGAGGACAGACCACACAGAACGACAGACACACACAGGAAGGACCAGACACACACAGAAGACAGACAAACCACCGAAAGGACAGACACACACAGAAGAACAAGACACAACCAAGACAGACAAACAAAAGGGACACCACACACAAAGAAGACCCACGCACAGAAAGAACAGACACAAACAGAAGGACAGACACACACAGAAGAAAGACACACACAGGACAGACACACAACAGGAAAGACAGGGACACACAGAGAGGACAGAACACACAGGAGAGGACAGACACACAGAGAGGGACCGAACACAGAGGGACAGACACCAACACAGAAGACAGGCACACACAGAAGACAGACACAAACAGAAGGGGCAGACAAACACAGAAGACAAGACACACACAGAAGGACAGACACACACAAGAAGACAGCACAGAGGAGGACAGACACACAGAAAGGACAGACACACAAAGGCACACACCACACAGAAGACCAGACACACAGAAGGAAAGACACACACAGAAGACCAGACACACCAGAAGGACAAGACACAACACAGAAGACAGACACACAAAAAGAAGACAGGAAATACACAGATTGCTTTGGGTGACCCCTGTATATGCTACCTGTAGTCGTATGCTGCAGGCCACAGCGGAGCAGTACTTGTTCTTGTAGTGCAGCTGCAGGTGTCCGATCAGCAGCTCGTACACTCGACTAGCGTGGCTGGCTGGCAGGCTGTACAGCTTACTCTGCAAGGGGAGAGCAACAGAGCACAGACATTATCAATTCACGATTCGATCAATCACATGAGTGAATGTTAGTGTAAATATGTAACACTGCATTGACTGTGTGTGTCCCAGTGTATGTGTCCCATTGTGTGTGTGTGTTATCCCAGTGTGTGTGTGTCCCAGCGTGTGTGTCCCAGTGTGTGTGTCCCAGTGTGTGTGTGTGTCCCAGTGTGTGTGTGTGTGTCCCAGTGTGTGTATGTGTCCCAGTGTTTGTGTGTGTGTCCCAGTGTGTGTGTGTGTGTCCCAGTGTGTGTGTGTGTGTGTGTGTGTGTGTGTGTGTGTTTGTGTGTGTGCGTGTGTGTGTGCGTCCCAGTGTGTGTGTGTGTGTCCCAGTGTGTGTGTCCCAGTGTGTGTGTCCCAGTGTGTGTGTGTGTGCGTCCCAGTGTGTGTGTGTGTGCGTCCCAGTGTGTGTGTGTGTGTCCCAGTGTGTGTGTCCCAGTGTGTGTGTGTGTGTGTCCCAGTGTGTGTGTGTGTGTCCCAGTGTGTGTGTGTGCGTCCCAGTGTGTGTGTGTGTCCCAGTGTGTGTCCCAGTGTGTGTGTGTGTGTCCCAGTGTGTGTGTGTGTGTGTGTGTCCCAGTGTGTGTGTGTGTGTCCCAGTGTGTGTGTGTGTGTCCCAGTGTGTCCCAGTGTGTGTCCCAGTGTGTGTATGTGTCCCAGTGTTTGTGTGTGTGTCCCAGTGTTTGTGTGTGTGTCCCAGTGTGTGTGTGTGTGTGTGTGTCCCAGTGTGTGTGTGTGTGTGTGTATGCGTCCCAGTGTGTGTGTATACCTGTAGTATCTCCAGTAACCCCAGTATAGCGGTCCTGATGTCCTCCATGGGGGATTCTGCCGTGGGGTCTCTCTCCGACACCTCCAGGGGCCCTGGGCACGCCAGCGAACGACTGGCCACCTACACACAGAGAGAGAGAACAAACTGTTAAATGAATAACACACATACACACACACACATACTCTGTTAAGTATTTATGCATAGTCACTTTAACTCTACCCACATGTACATATTACCTCAACTACCTCAACTAGCCGGTGCCCCCGCACATTGACTATGCAACGGTACCCCCCTGTATATATAGCCTCCCTACTGTCACTTTATTTTACTGTATATATAGCCTCACTACTGTCACTTTATTTTACTTCTGCTCTTTTTTTCTCAACACTTTTTTGTTGTTGTTTTATTCTTACTTTTTTGTTTAAAATAAATGCACTGTTGGTTAAGGGATGTAAGTAAGCATTTCACTGTAATGTCTGCACCTGTTGTATTCGGCGCATGTGACCAATAAAATTTGATTTGATTTGACATGCCAGCTAATCAAATCACATTAATTTATAAAGCCCTTTTTACATCAGCAGATGTTACAAAGTGCTTCTACAGAAACCCAGCCTAAAACCCCAGAGAGCAAGCAATGCAGATGTAGAAGCAGGGATCTGTCTAGAGAACACACACACACTCTAGAGAGAGAGAGAACACACACTCTAGAGAGAGAGAGAACACACACTCTAGAGAGAGAGAGAACACACACTCTAGAGAGAGGGAACACACACTCTAGAGAGAGAGAGAACATACACTCTAGAGAGAGAGAGAGAACACACACTCTAGAGAGAGAGAGAACACACACTCTAGAGAGAGAGAGAACACACACTCTAGAGAGAGAGAGAGAACACACACTCTAGAGAGAGAGAGAACATACACTCTAGAGAGAGAACACACACTCTAGAGAGAGAGAGAACACACACTCTAGAGAGAGAGAGAACACACACTCTAGAGAGAGAGAGAACACACACTCTAGAGAGAGAGAGAACACACACTCTAGAGAGAGAGAGAAC